AGCCTATTAACATGAACCGAAGCTGTTGCCTGGCAACGCAATCGCACAACATCACGTCCGTTAATTCCACATCCACACGCATGGATTAACATCGATTTAATACATTAATGTAGCCTTTGTTTCTGCTAAAAGAGGTGTCGACCAGCTGGGGCAACAAGTTAATCGGCGTAATCGAGTGTGACTATTAAAAAATAAATCATTATTATATTAATATTGACAATAACAACCGGCCGTCGGGATAGCATTTGCTTGGCATTTCCGGGTATATCTCCACTGGTTAACATGGGTTAACAATACCGTGTAACTGTCACGTTTGAAGGGACGAAATCGTGACATCTTCACGTCTCTCAGCATGGTAAATCGTCACATGTTCACGTCTTGCCGTGATACCGGGTTGCCTATAAAACAGAAATGCCCCAAACAAACATATTAAAAAAGTTAAAGACAATAACTTACTTTTGGCATTAAAATGGATTAGAATCTCACAATTTTCCTGGATGTCAGGAAGGCCAGAAAGTCGTTCCCTTCAAGTCCACAACCAGTCAAAGGAGTCCAAATGCAAAGCCTGAACGATGACAACAGCAAGAGACTTACATTTTACAAGATAAGTAATACCAGAGCAGTGTGTGTGTACATGTACGACATGCAGAGAACATATCAAATCCCCTGACAGACTCACACACTTTGGTGATGTCCTCATCTGATAATGATGTTTAATTTTTTAGCAGCAAAGTAACATTACTCAAAGTATATGCCGGACCCAACTCATGTACAGTAGGCCTATGTTTTGCATCTCCTCAACAATATATATATGTATAGTTGAGTAGAAAAAAACCACGCTGGTGTACCAGCTTTCCCATGCTGGTCTTGCTGGTCTACCAGCATGGTATTGCTGGTGATACAGCTTCACCAGCAAGACTGCTGGTAGACCAGCATAACTACCAGCTTCACCAGCAAAAAACATAGCATAGACGCAGCATGGATTTCATGCTGGTCTTTTCTGGTTTATGCTGTTTCATGCTGGTCTATGCTGGTGAAGCTGGTTGTTATGCTGGTCTGCTGGCACAAAAGGCGGGTAGACCAGCATGGTGTTGCTGGTGAAGCTGGACTGCAATACTAATTGTGTATGGGTCACCTTCCTGAGAATTTATTTGTCATTTCCTTTCTATAACCTTTTATTAAAAAAAAAAATGGCATTGCACTGTAACTGTTCCTTTCTGCTTTCAACTAGTGCATGCTTTATACTTTATTTAGGAGGTATATAAAAGTATCTATAACTGCACTGCAATACTAATTGTGTACAGGCAAACATAAATTCCATTCAAAGTACAGAATCACAACAATACACGTTATCAAATCTTAAACCACACTTCCCAGGGTGCTTTTAGCGCTTTTAAAACATTTGAATTGAAAGTATGCAACGGTTTCTCTGACCACCATTATTCACTATATACACATATTCACTGTAACTAGGTACACTTTCAGTGAAAATGTTTTTTGTTCTAGGGTTAACATGTGTTACCTGCTTTGCTGCAAACCAACCACAAGGGGGCATTAGTGTAACATCATGATATAATTACATTGAGGTTTGCAATTGAAATACAACCTTTAGGCTTTATTTGTTGATTAAATGGAAGAGGGACACTAATAACAGGACAACAAATTAGGGGATACAATTTAGGGAAATGTTGGAGACTTTTATAACACATGACATCTCAAGATAATATAGTTTCTGTGCACATACACGGCTCAAATGCTGTATGTTTGGAAGTCTAGTAAAAGTTTGAAGATTAAATGACAAACACATTTAATTCCCAGCTTCAGAAAGGTGTATCTCTAATGCACATACATTCTGCAGTACTGTTCAGAATGTCCCTGATTATGATTATAACTGTTTTGCTTACTCGATTTCCATTAAGTATAGTTTCTGCCACACAGGCCACATGATTTGAATAGGGAACTATTTGATGTTACGGTTTATCTGGGAACACGCACACCCATTTCCACTGACATGAGCGTGTTTTTGTTATCTGAAGGAAGTTGTCCAGCAGCCTACAACAGCAGGCCTGAATTGGCCCAGGCACAGCAGTCTTTTGGAGCTGAATGCTAAAATTAGCAAGCTAAAAACATTTGAGCAGTTAGTAGGATTTATCCTCTGAGGACTATGAATGACAATATTTCATAGACATATTTTAAAAAGATGTTGAGATCTCAGACAAGCAAAATAGAAAGTCTGCATTTATGCGTATTATATATATATATATAATACTGTGCATTATAACTCTGCAAAGGGTTCACAAGAGAAAAAGGCCTTTGCTAACAGCATCATAAGCCTAGAACTGCTGTATTCAAGCATCTTACGCCTGTGTCATTGTGTCAGTCATGTGATCCAGGAACTAAAATAAAAAAGGTTTATACATCACATTTTATGCCACAATGTAACCCAGAGTGATTTTGGAATATTGTCAACAAGGGTCTTTGTCTGAAAATAAATGCATGGGGTATAAAGAGTATACAGCTTTGGAATTGAATTAAGTACATTTGCTCAAGTACTGTGTTTAGGTACCTTACAAATAACTACAGTTTGTACATGGTTATTTCCATGTAATGCTATTTATACTTCTAATCTGCAGAGAATAATGTTGTCCTTTTAACTCCACTTCATTTGTCTGAATGCTTGAGTTACTTTGAAGATTACAATATTTCTTCCCCTTCCTGTCAAGACAAAAACCATCTTGAAATTTGGTGATTTTCAATGTTTCTGAACGTATACCAACAATTAAGTGTTTTCCATGTTGAGAAAATGCTCCTCATTCTTAAGCTAAATATGTTTTTGAAACCTCTTGGATCAGCAAAGATAAAATCAGGGCTGTCTTTCTGAAAAACTCATGAATACGAACAAAATGTCACCCCGAAGGAAAGTTGTTCGAGATTCTAGACATGGTAAATAATAAAAAGGGCATCTAGATATTTACACATGACGTGCATACATATACACAGTTTGCATATGTAGGGAGGTAATTTGGTATTCACATTTATTTTGAAAATATATATGGTTCTCACAGCACAGTGACACAAATTCTACAAAGATATGATGACATAATTGTAACATTTGAAATACTTTTGTGTCATGAGTCAAATAATGTAGATGTATCCAAACAATGTATAGTAACACAATATAATAACACATGTTCACCAAATTGCTTGTATGGGAATTAGCTTTTTAAGATAGGACAACAGTTTTATTGTCATTGAGCTGTCCCAGACTTTTTACTATCGTGGTTTTATGACATAATGATGAGACGTTTAGTTTCAGTAAAACCCATCAGCTCTCTTGTTACGGTGAGTTCCTCAAAAACTGTGATTAGGTAGAAAAAAAAGAATATGGCATGTTTACACAGTTCATATCTTATATCTATCTATTACATAACAGAGAGATAATGAAGAAAACTTTCGTCAACTTCTTCTCATTTGGAAGTTATAGAAGAATAATCAAGAAACAACAATACCTCACATTGATACCAGTTTTCTCGCTGAAGATTAAAACTTTAAATTCAATTTAAAAAACGGTATAATTGTTAAAAAAACTGGAATCTAATCCCTGTTGCCATGTTAGACAGGTGATTTATTGCAATTTTGGATACCATTTTTGCTTAATTTAGTAAGCTCTTCGCAATTATTTACCACAAGATTAACGATATCATAGCTATCAGCCTCTAGTTAAAAACAACATTTGTGAGTTATCTACACTGAATATCTGCATATTATGCATGGTTTGACAAATAGCAAATGTATTCTTCCACATAACAGTGTCCTATTTAAGCTCAATACAGTCCCAGTATCTGACACCGGTGCAGCAGCTCTAGTTTCATGTCCTGTTTGAAAGTCATTTCACAGGTTTCACGTTTTCTAGTTTCAGGGATGACACCCATCACCCCTTTTGTTGTGTGTTTTGGTGAGATTTTAGAAAACAGATTGCAATTCAACCAGTCAAACCTGAACTTGCCTGAAAAGGTCTGTTGACGTAAATAAAGTTTCCGAAACCTCATTTCAAAAACACATGTGCTTTTTTCTTATTTCATTCAACAGTCTAGCTGTGGATCCAAACCAATGTCAATGTCAGGAAATAATAGGCCTAAAAAAGATAATAATAAAAAAAATACACTCATTTTTTATTTCTGCAGAAACAAAGTATTTTACTCAAGTACTGTATAGGTACAATTTGGGTGTAATTGTATACTCATATTAATTTCCTGTTTCTTTATAATTTTCTACTTCAACACATCACAGTGGTTAATATTGAACTTGTTACTTTAAGTAATCATACTCAAATTAATAATACAACATGTATAATTAATCACATATCATTACAGATTCACATAATTGATCCTTTGTGGAAATTCACAAGATACCTGACAGTATATGCAGTATAGTAAACCTACCTAGATAAATGCTGAATTAAATAAATACAAGTATGGAAATATTAAATAAAATAAATATATAAACATATAGCCTATAATTGCTAAAATGAATACTGAAATAAATACAATTATAAATAAATATATACAAATATGCAGGACAGAACATCAAATAATTATAAACAAATATGTAAATGAATACAGAAATAAAACAATAAATACAGAACTAAATGTCTAAATGAAAACACACAGAAATGAATAAATACAGGAATAAATTAAAAAAGGAGAAATAAATGTTGAAATAAAAACAGAAATAGAAAAAATGAAATAAATAAACAAAAAAGAAAATGATATTACTGTAAATGAATAAATGAATGCATAGCCTACATTTTGTTATTTAAACATAAAACAAACCACATTTAATTCATAGGTGCTTTTGCCCCCTTTGATACTGTGATAGGCTACTGTAGAGTTAGCAAACATTGTTACATTTTAATGCACGAAATGTAATGGGAGGTTTTCCCACCGTCCACTTTTCAAATCTGGCTGATTTACATGTCCTCTCGTGTTACACAACCATAAATGATTCGTTGAGCAGCAGCTCACTCCCCCCGTCGGCTGGGTAGTACACGTCAGCAGTGAATGAAGTTGTACCCAAGATGTATCATGTCCTATCATCCTCTTCCTGGTGTGAGCGTGTTGACACCTGGTTGACACATTACACCTAATTTGGGTAAGTTAAATGGAGCTAACGCTACTTAGCTTCTACTTTGACGCCGACTTTAAAAACACAACATAGCCTATACATAACGCTTTGTTCTACTTTTCTACAGGTGGTAAAAAAAACTGGCAAATGGCTCGGTTTTGAAGAGGAAATACAGTCATGCGAGAAGAAAAGCAGCCGTCATAACACGTTTGACATTTAGTTAAAGACACGCATCGTTGGACAGTAATAATAAGAGTTTCTCCGCACGAGGAAAACTGTCGCGAGGAAGTTTACAATGAAGGAGCTCGCGGTGAATCCAAGCCATTTCTGTTGAAGTCCAAAGTCTGTTTTTACTTTAAGAAAATGAGGTTTCGGCTGCTCAAAAAGAATCTGCTCGCGCTGCTGGGTGTTTCCTTTGTCGTTGTGACTCTGCTTATTTCCACACGTGTGTTATTAGTCAACGATAATGACACAACTGGACCTAATAACGTCGAGCCGGGACACCAGGGAATGCATTCTGGTGACGCGGTAAAGTTTAACTTTGGCTCGCCTACAGAGTTGACTCAGTCCGTTTACAGTGCCAATTACAAGCAGTGTGTTCACAACGCGGATACGTTTCCAGGGGAGCCTCTGCTGGTGCTGGTAGTTCAGGTCCACAACAGGCCTGAATACCTCAGACTGTTCATCAAGTCACTGGAGAAAGCTGCTGAGGTCCACAGCTTCCTCCTTATTTTTAGCCATGACTACTTTTCAGAGGAAATAAACGCCATTGTGCAAGGGATAACTTTCTGCAAAGTACTGCAGATTTATTTCCCCTTCAGCACTCAGCTGTATCCCAGCGAGTTTCCTGGGAAGGATCCAAGGGACTGCCCTCGAGACATATCCAAGGAAAACGCTCGCAAAACAGGATGCCTCAACGCAGAACACCCTGACTCCTATGGACACTACAGGGAGGCCTTCATCACTCAGACTAAACACCACTGGTGGTGGAAACTGCACTTCGTGTGGGAGCGAGTGCCGGCCCTGCAGGGCTACAGCGGCTTTGTGATCTTCCTGGAGGAGGATAACTACATCCTACCTGACTTTTTCCACTACTATAAATCAATGGTGGAATTCAGGAAAAGCAGCTGCCCCGATTGTGACATGCTAGCCTTGGGTAACCACAATGGTCTCACTGATTTCAACAGACTGTCCAATAAGGTGTTGACCGCTGGGTGGATGTCCACTAAACACAACATAGGCATGGCCATCTCCAGAGATGTGTACTACAAACTGATGGGCTGCCACGAGGAATTCTGCACCTACGACGACTACAACTGGGACTGGACTCTGCAGCACCTCTCGGGAACCTGCATATCAAAGCCCATCAAGGTACTGGTGGCGCAGGGCTCCAGGGTCCTCCACACAGGAGACTGTGGCCTTCACCAGAAGGAGAACTGCAGGCCAGAATGGGCCACACAGAAGGTGGAGGAGAGCCTTAAAACGGCCAAAGAGGCTCTCTTTCCTCAATCTCTCATCCTTCAGGATGCAGAGGCAGTAGAGCACAAGACACACATGAAGAACGGAGGATGGGGAGACGTTCGGGACCATATTCTATGCAAGAACTACGCCAAACGTCTTTGAACTGTAACTTTTCTTGGGTCAAATGTTAGTTGGTATTCTGCAGACGTGCCATTCATACATAACTTTTCAGGGTTTCGGAGGCTGCACTGGGTTGTGTTTTCACTTGGAGTGTTCTCTATTTACAGCAAGGTCTTTCAAGGAAATTGGACCAAATCAAGTCCAAAAATGCTGCATGTACACAGCTAGCTTTAACTCTTTTTTTACTCACCAAAGCTGCACAGTTGCCAAAGATTTTGTTGATATTTGTGTTGTTTTAAATGCAAGCTGGGCTCAATTTCATTTCACCAGTTTTGTTTTACTCTGGGTGCCTTACAATCCAAAACATTAGATTTATTGCACAGTGCTGGGTATATCTATATCAGAACTTATTTTCTACTGTGTTGCATTCATGAACCATTTAGAATCATTTTACATGTGCCTTTACGGTACAGGTTTTAAGTGCGACAATACAAAAGGCACGTGTAATGTACAGACTTAATCAAATGTGTATGACAATCTTACATATGATGGAGAACTTGTTTACACAACAGTCTTCTTAAAGTTGAATGAGAACATTATTTCATGCACATAATGGTATCTGTGTTACTGAATGTAACCAGGGGGCTTTTTTTTGAGGAGAGGTCAGCTGATACCACTTACTTACTCAGTCTCCCCCTCCCCACTGCATTGACCCCTGGCTACAAAAAGAGAGCTTGATTGAAATTGATTTTTTTCCTTCTTCTGTTGTGACTGTATATTTGCTTTCTGATAGGTGAAAGCAACCTTTTGGAGTCTTGTTCAAGGTCTGTCTTCCTGCAAACTCGAGTCATCTGGGATTCAGCATTTCTATATTTGCACCTTTTCATTCAGCTGTTAGGGACATTTAAAAACACATTCACACTAAAGTAACCTTTATTTACAGTAGAAAACTGAGAGAATTAACTAAATATATTGATGCTATTATAGCCTTAAAGCTGACCAAAAGTGCCTTTGATTGTTACTTTGTGCCTAAACTCGTTTTAAAAGAGATTTTTAATGGTGCACTGCTAACATTGTTGTTCACATTATGTGCCTGTCAGTGCTAGGGACTTGTAGTTCACCTCGTAAATATATATATTTTTGGTATTGTCTTTCTTCATGAGATGTTGAGGGAAAAGTGAATGGTAATGTCACCAAAATCTTCATTGTAAAATTATGTTAAATAATTGCATCGCTTTGCCCTTTTCCTCGCAAAAGGTGACAGTGGCTCCACTCAGAGTGGTTTCATCTGATATTGGTGCATGTCAGCGTCCCTAATGGAGATTCCTGGTAAATGAATATGAAGTGAATGTGATAATGAAATAGATAAATCTTATGTTGAAAAGCACAATGCATTCTTAAGGAACATGTCAAAGATAGCCTTATACACAAAGATGTACTATGTAAAAATGACTTGTATGTTAGTATGTATGTGGTATGTGTAATGATTCTTTAGTTTGTTGAGAGTGCTTTTTTGTTGTTGCTTGTTTTCTTTTCTTTCTGATTATCACTTGAAATAGCTTTTTGTGGTTCACCTAATGTTTGCCAAATGGGGAAAAAAATAAAAGGCAGAATTGTCAATGAGCTTTGCCATTGTCTCTTCATGGAAAAATATGCACACTTTATTTTAAAGCCCACCTTTTTTGAAATACTATACCTTTTAATGGAACACATAATTATTGTGGAGATTTGTACACTTTCACTAGATTCCAGTAGCAACCTGGAGATTTAAGATATTGAAAATAAAGAGATATTGGTTCACAAACAAAACAGAATATGGATGTAAATGTTATCAGTCATCCATTTTTAGCAGTCACTCAACAGAACGGCTGCATATTTAACACAACAAACTCAACCTAAATAACTAACACCTTTAATTAGTAGTAAAATAGCTATCTACAGGAATTATTTGAGGACGTAATGAGGAAATTACTGGAAATAAAAGCAGATGACGTGTTATAACTATTCACAGAATAACGTTGTGATCTGATAGGTGACAGTGACACATTAGTCATGTAAGGAGGTTTGTTCTACTAATCCTGAACAGAAGAGAAGCTGATCTGACTTCTGTGGTATTTTCCGAACACACCTCACATGACTAAACCGCGGGATTCGATTGGTCTGCGTCTACTCCGTGTTTATTTCCGGAAGTAAGTTGTTGTCAGTGTCAGACTTTCCACTAGGATTATCAAATCTCACATTTACAGCACCAGAACGTCAGGTAAGCAGCGAAACGGATACTTTATTTGACCGAATACAGTTAATTAATTTAACCGTATTATAAGTCAGTTGTCACATCGATTCAGTTATTATTTTGTACATTTCCAGATGTAGCCACTGCCAGCCGTTAGCTGTTGCTCTCCGTAGCTTACGTAATGGACTTTTGTCTACACATAATTGTTGAAAACACGATTTATAATAGCCCCAAGTAACCACAGAGGGTTAGAATCCATTTGTAAAACTTGGGAAGGGGGGATATAGCCTCGTGAGGGTGCTAACACGGCCCAGCGAGTCGTAGCTACGGTAAAATGACATTAGCTAAGATGACACATGAGCTAGCTATGCTGCCCACTTAAGCACCAGTCTATAATATGTAAACTAGTTGTTAGGCCATTTATTTGACTGTATAAAACGTGTATTAATACCAGAAATACAACACATTCATTCACTGTTTGTCACCCTGTATTTTTCAAGGTGTGTCCTCATCCACAGGATGGCACATTGGTTTCACAGGAACCCTCTGAAGGCAACAGCGCCTGTGTCCTTTAATTTCTATGGAGTGGCAGGAAGCCCCTCTGCCAATAAGATATGCAAGTACGTCTTATCTCTATCTATTACACTGGTTAAGGTGTTATGAAGTTGGACTGACTGTGACCATGAACACTTACTGAATTGTTTTTGTCTATCCTCTCTTATGACGATGTAATGACCTATGTTGTGCTCCTGTTACTGTCATTTGATAACATTTTTGCCTTAAAGGGTGCAAAAGGTGTTGGATATAATCACTCATAATACAGGAATGATCATGATTTTTAGAGCATCAATTGAATGCCATTTGTTTGACACACACAGTGACCTGCGGACTAACAGGGCGAGACTGCTGGAGATGTTCACAGATGTCACCTGCAACCCTGAGATCATGAAAAATGCCACAGATGCATACTTCTCCCTCCTCCAAGGTAATATGCAACCCAATCTTTGTCTTGTAAGGGTGTTTATCTCCTTATATCGGAGGGGTTTGGTCAATCAGTCCAAACTAAATATTCAGCCAAACGTTGTTTAAACCTACAGAAGTTTATTCAATCCTGCTAGAGATCCCAAAATTAGCCAAAATAGCAATTGTGAATTGTGATTTTTGAAGAAATATGCATAACATTATGTTATAAGATCTTAATTATTTCCATTTGATTGAATGGTAAAGCTTTAAAACATTCTCAACAGTCTCAGTAAACATTCCTTTCAAAAAGATTCAGAAAGAAAAATGTGTTAATACTGCACATTTGATGGTTGATACCAAGCGTTTCATTGCCTAAAAAACAATTGCATACTTGTAATGTATAGTTAATATTGTTATTCATATTTCTCTCCTTTTCCTTTCTAACATTGCATTCTGTAATTCTAACAATTGTTACTAGGTTTTGCCTAGCACATAACCAACAGCTTCTTGTTTTTTTAAATATTGGTTTATAATACAATAGGCTTTATCACGGCCCTGGATGGAACAACACAGGAGAACAAGATGAGATTCATTCAGAACTTCAAGTGGACTGACACCTTACAAGGAAACACACCAAGGTATGAACACTGATTGAATACTTCCATTCTCATTGGATGGATGCATTCTTTTTATGGTTGCAATTCAAAGAAAAAAGCTTTAAAAAACATATGAAGACTACACAGCATTTTGAATCATAGCATTATTGACTTGTGTGAATAACCACCGTGTCCATGCTCTCCTCCCAGTGCCCAGCAGGATGCAGTCTTTGAACTGGTCTCCATGGCCTTCAATGTAGCCCTGTGGTACACCAAGTTTGCCTCGAGACTAGCAGGGAAAGAAAAGTATGTACTTTTTTTGTCTGTATTTATTTATGTTAAATCCGTTGTCTACCCTATCTTTTTTATAACTTTCTGATTATGCTAACTTTTGTTTTGCGGTCTTGTTTTCCTGTTCAATAGCGTGACAGAGGCTGAAGCGAAAGATGTTCACCGGAGCCTGAAAGTGGCTGCTGGTATATTCAAAACTCTCAAGGTAAGCAGCTGCAAACAAGACAGGCCTTTCTAACTTTTTATAGAGCCATTCAGTCCTACTCTTTGTATTTGTTCATATCCATTATTTCTATGGTATACATACATACAACTAAATTAACTTCTTTACTAATATTTGTACTTAAGCCTTTGACAAAACATAATTTGCTTTGATTACTTTCTGTTAATTCAGAGACCAAAGCGTATATCCAGAGAATTCCTGACGGTGAAGTACATTTTATTTAAATCCTCTTTAGTGACGCCAAAATGTTCATTTGCCAACACCCCATTAGTATAATGAGAGGATTTCAAACTGTAAGGTGGGCTATGTGGTTGAAGCATGTAATGACAATGAGAATCACATGTCAGAACTTGCCTGAGAAAAAAAATCACTGCCTTTTACTTTAAGTAGAAGTAAACAGGAACAGATGAAAGCTGATTTGCCCAATTTCCAATGGTGCCAATTAGGGATGGTTATCGTTTGAAATGTATCGATTCCGGTTCTTATCGATTCCCCGTATCGATTCCAAAATTGTAAAAGAAAGAGGTCAAACGTTTAGATAACAAAAATATCTTTATTCTTTTAAGCTTTAACTGACATTTTTACAAATAAAAAATATATATGTAATACAAATGTATTGCACAATAGCTGTACTTTATTTTAACTGAGCTGCCTGTGGCAAGCTATTAACAGGCATTACACTGTGCCTTGTCTTTTTCTTTTTCTTTTTTAGTGTAGTGTAGTGGAGCCTCACTTTAGAGCGTTTACCGCAATCCATCTTTGGTGTTATGAAGTGACTGGGCTCGTGAACTGTCTACGGGAGGGCGGGGGGAGCCTCGCTGCGGGGCAACTGTGGACCTCTGTCGCCTGTCAGCACAACTTACATGATGCCGTTTAAAAAAATTAAGGGCGGTGCCGGCCGTCAGCAAACCGAGCCGGACGCTAACGACCCGCTAACCACCGGCCGTTCTGTGATTCTCCAGAACAGTGGTTCCCATGTTTTTTTTTTACATTTCTTTATTTTATTTTTTTATTCAAGTTAGTAGCTATTATAGGCATAAAAAGACAGCCATTTATAATTCTTTCTTTAATAGAAATGTTTCTTCTGCCCGTAAAGTGTCCAAACCAGGCTTTTCTGGATAAGCGCATTTTTAAAACAGTCATTGTCCATGCCGGTTTCAGTTGGATTATTTGTCACAGTTGCTCCGATCAGATCGGTCTCCTCCATTTTGTAGATTATTTACGACTTTTGAATCCACATAAACACATTGGCAAAATCCGGTTTACTTTGAGCATGTGTTTTAAACAGTTCCCTTTGTGAATTGTTTCCACTTGCGCCGTCCTTTCATTTCTTCATACAGCGGGAATCCAAATGAATTAATCCTGAGTCCAATAACCATCAAAGTCACTCCAATAGTGCTCCTTAATTACGCTTTCATCCTCCTTTAACAAAATGCTTCACATTCATCCATTTTGTGACAGTAGTTGTAGCATTTTTTAAACTTTTAAACTTTAATTACCGCTTTTGCGCGCCCCCTTGTATGTGGGGGGGGCGCAACTTCCAACAGGAGTCATTTGGGGGGGCTCTTGGGAAAAAAGGTTGGGAACCACTGCTCCAGAACACACAGATGGCCAGTCCGCCCTTACCCTGTATTCCACCGGGTCACCGCGGCGCAGACGGACCCGGTGGAATACAGGGTCTACCGTTGTTGGGAACCGTTAAGCAGAACCAAAATTGTGTATTTTGTATGGGTACCCGGTAATCGGCATTTTCTTATCGGTTCTCATCTGGAACCGAGTTTCGTTTCCCAACCCTTGTTCCAATCTACTTATGTCAACAGATGCAACATAACCTTTTAGCCAACACGCACTCCGTGGTTATATGGGATCCCCTTTTTTTAAATATAACTTTTAGCCAACAGCTTATCAGCCGACTTCATGCCAACTTAAGGTAGTAGGGGAATATATGTGGGTGTCGGGGGGTGACAGTGTCAGACTTTGAAAACCCCCAGTTTAAAATGAGCATAACGATTTTGCCACAGACCCTTTGCAAAAACAAAGGAATGCATGATATTGACTTGCTGATTTTTAAATCCACAAATTCTCCGGCATTTCTGCTACAGGAGGTCCACATCCCTCGTCTCATCACCCCGGCTGAAAAAGGCAGAGACCTGGAGCCCAGAGCGATGGATACATACATCATCCAGTGCCAAGCGGAGGCACAAGAAGGTACAGAAGCCCCTAGAAATCTGCACTAGCAACTATAGTACTTGTACTCTTTAGCCCTGACAGTAGATACTCAGGCAATGATGAACAATACATCATAATGACTCCTTGTCACATCCGAGATGTATTCATTTTCAATTTATTTCCTTTTTCATAGTGACAATTGCCAGAGCAATTGAACTGAAGCACAACGCAACACTCATCGCAGCGCTGGCATTTGAGACAGCAAACTTTTATCAAAAAGCTGGTATGTATTTTGGCATTACATGGGTTTACAGTTCTCAGGTACAGTTATGGTAACTTTTTTTAAAAAACAATCTAAGCTAGGGAAAACCTGTAAAAGGGAAAGAGAAGGGGCCCTAAGATGGAGCCTTGATGAACACAACTTATCATATGTGTCTGCTTAGAAGTGTAATTAGCTGTAGAAACAAAGTAAAGGTTGTTTTATGAAGACAAATGCACATTGCCAAGCTTCACATAGGCTTACGTTGCGACAAACTGGCAACTCAATCATGCTAATATCAACAGGCTATTAAAGGTAATTATCTCTGTCCGCAGACCACACGTTGAACACCTTGGAGCCAGAATGCAGTGGCAAATGGAGGAAGTACCTTGAGCTGAAGCAGCACTTCTACATGGCTTATGTAAGTTCATGCTTATCCTGATTCACTTCACCGTACTTTTAGGCACAATAAACTTAGTCCGTGTACGTGCCTCCTATGATACTGTTCTTTACAAAGACAGGAAACAAATTGACTTTTTTTATTGAAATGTTATACTCATTACTTGTGTTTGCAGGCTTATTGCTATAATGGGCAGACGCTGTTGGCGAGTGACAAGTGCGGTGAGGCTATAAGATCCCTCCAGGAGGCAGAAAAGTGTACGTATATCTTTGACTAGCGTTCCACCTTAAAAATGTTTTTAACCACATACTATATACATGTATTAAAGTGCCTAAGTAACAAGCATTATAATTAGATAGTACCCTTAAACATTATTATATACAATCATTTAAAAAAGTAATGGAACAACACAAGTATTACAGAGGCCAATTGCACAATTCATTTATCACCTCATCAATACACTTTTAGTAAGTAATTATGCTTCAAGCTCTTTTTATTTTTGTCAAAAAAATGTTTCGTTTATCTAATACACTCATGTCTTCTTATTAAAGGCACATTATTTAGATAAGGTTATACACACACTGTGTTTTTCCATTATGCACAGTGTATGTATGATATTAATGTGTAGTTGTGAGAAAATGGAGGCAAACAACTTCTATCTTTGACAACACAAGGTGTGTATCGTTTATTTACACAGCTAAAAACACAAGAAACTTGAATCCCAACATTGTACGTTACCATAGTAACACTCTGACACTGTCAACTTTTACGTCATATTATGAGTCATATAAGATGATTGATGGTGTTTAACCACAGATAATGCTGAATTAATTCCTAAGAGTCCGCTACAAATGCATGTTTTGTTAATTTGTCTTTATTAGGTCCATTATCCAAACTGCACTCACTTTGGTTTAGTAACATGTAGTTTAAGCATAGTTTTTTTTGTGGTCATTACACTATTATTCCTGTGTTTTGTTGAACTACTTTTGGACACAAAATAAGTAGTCATAGATTTGTATTTCTTGCTTCCATTATATTACATTACATTTCATTTAGCTGACACTTTTATCCAAATTGACTTACAATAAGCGTATTTAAAGGGGCCCTATTTTGCACATTTTAGCTTCATATCAGTATGTAGTGCCATACTGTGACATGTCTCCATGCTTTAATGTTCACAAAGCTCTTTATTTCTCATACTGCCTGTGCTGCAGCACCTCTTTTCACCCTCTGTCTGAAACCAGAGCCCAGTCTGCTCTGATTGGTTAGCTGGCCGGCTCTGTTGTGATTCGTCAACCACTTAGAGATGTCCCGCCCCTTACCGTACAATGTGTTGGAGCGCTAGTCAATAGAAGCACACGTGTGATGTCACTATGTTACAGAAGTAAACAAAGGAGTCCAATGGAGGCAGTTCTGGCATTTTAGCCTCTAACACAGTTCCCAACCTTTATTGTGCCAAGGACCGGCAGATACATTAAAAAAAAATCGCGGACCGGTTGTCAATTTTAACTGATTTTAATATTTACTCACCAGCAGGTGGCAACAGAGGCTAATTGTATTTAACAGCCTGAACAAATAACAATATGCATCCAAAACATATTAACAACGTTTAAAACTAGGATACAATTAAAACAAAAAATTAGGACTGCTTTACAAATATTAATATATAATATGATATAGCCTAATATAGGCCTAGATGGCAACAGTGGCTAATTGTATGTAACAGCCTGAACAAATAATAGAACAATATGCAATGCATCCAAAACATATTAACAAAGTTTAAAACCAGGATACAATTAAAACAAATTAGGACCACTGATATAACTGAAATGTCAGTGAGACCCCTGGGCTTGTTTGCCAGCCATAATAACGTCATACCGGGGCGTGATGGTTGACAATGAAATGCGCAGGGTATTCCTCACGTCCAGTCTGCTTCTAAGTCTGGTCTTAGTGGCCGTCATGGCAGAAAAACCTGCCTCGCACAGATATGACGTTGGGAACGGGAGCAGTGTCTTCAGAGCAAGCGTGCCGATCTCTTTGTATTCTCCCGACGCTTTGATCCAGAAGGATGTCAACGATGTTGATTTAAAGAGTGTTTTCAGTCCTCCGTCATTCATTAGCTCGATCAGCTGATCATCTTGTAGTGATGAGAGCTGGTCTCGACCATCGTCATTTAGAAATGGATCACGCATCCATCCTTTGCCATTCCTCGGGTCCTTTGCAGATGGAAAATAGCGTTCAAATGCATCAGACAGTGATAGCAGGTGGCTGTGTATCAACTCGCCAAGTCCCTCGGCTTCTTCCGAAAAACTGGATAAGTTGCTGAACATGTCAAAAACACCCCGGTTGACGCGATGTGCCCAGGTTCCCAACATGGCTTTGAATCCGGCGACTTTGTCTGCGAGCCTGAATGTGTCAGCCATCCTCCCCTGCATTGTCAGATTGGTTCAAAGCCATAAAAATGTCACTCAAGTAGGCTAGTAGGTTTTCAGTCAGTTCTGGATTTTGTTGTATTAACATGACCCCTCACTGTTCAGGTTACTCCCGTGCTGAGGCGCTGTGCAAAGAGTACCGTCAGACCAAAGGGCCGGGCTCCACGGCCAAACCATCAGAGCAGCTGTTCTTCCTCAAACTGGGCGGCCTCATCAAAAACACTCTGGAGAAGTGCCAGAGAGAAAATGGCTTCATGTGAGTCAGTCAGGGCACAAAGACTCACACACTGTACATACACTGTTGTTCCTACGAGAAAAGCATCCACAAATGCATGCGTAACAAAATGAGATACAGTCAAACTAAAATACTTTAGATAACTGAATAACAATCCACAAAAAAAAACCTTGAATGATTAAAGAAATCTTACATTTTAATCAAGTTTCATTCAGCTGACCCTTTTTCTATATTTTTTACTTTATACTTTAACCAAATGAAGGATTTTAGTCTTTAAATATCTGTATTTTTATGGGGAAACATGTTAACTTCAGCTAAACATAATAAAACACTTCTTTAACTTGAAACTGCTTTAATTAGTGTTTGTAAAGGTTGTGGTAGTTCTGGAGAGGAGGAGATTTCTTTTGATGATTCTGTTCCTGGTAAAAACCTCCTGAAAGGTGCGCAATGAAGGGAATAAACAGGCAGAATGACTGAAGACAACTCCCATGATCCCCCACAATGCCTAAAACTCCAGAGACAGAAAGTCACTTACTGTACTTTTTAAATCTATTCTTAAACACTACAATTGTCTTGGCCTTTTTTGGTCATTTCCCCTAGATTGTACAAACATATAGATAGCAATTATACAAATGTTAATAAAGAAAAAATAAATAAGGCTACTTTCCCACTTCCACTCTAATCATATATTTTACAAGTTAATCTATTCACACATTTTAACATAGCAATTTATCATTGTGCATTAAGTTGATTATGAGCCCTCTCTTATGATTGAAAAGCCTCTACTGATTTTCCTTTAGCATTGTTACAGATGTGATTGACAGTTCTGAGACTAATACATAATAAACGAAATATTACCTATTGATTAATAAACAGTATATACTGTATCTGGGAATCGATTGTGTGACAGTAATTTTCTTAGGCTGCATTCAAGCTGGCAAAAGCACCTTTTTCTGATGGTTCTGAATTTTGACTTTTGACATTTTTCCTCAGATACTTCCACAAGGTCCCGGCCGAGGCCCCCGACCTGGAGTTGAAGGCCAGTTACGGCCTGGCTGAGCCAATCGCCTTCGAGCTGCCGCCTCTCAGCGAGCAGTGCACTCCTGAAGTCTACGCCACCTTCGACCTGACCAAGGGAGCCAAAAATGACAAGGTACCGCGGCAAGACTGCATCACAGCATCCGCAAACATAACAAAAGAAATACAATTGATCAGTTTTTGTTTACATTTGTGTTACCGTTTTTCTTTCTCCAGGCGAAACCCAAGGAGGCAGAGGTGAAGCCGGTGAAGGAGCCGGACCTGAAGCCTCAGAAGGACACCGGATGCGTCATCTCATAAACTTTCCACACTTTCTATTTTCAGCCTCATGCTATAATACCATCTATTGTAATGATGGCATCCATATTTCTAACCTCCATAGGAAAAATGTATTTTTTTGTTCTAGAAATCCATGGTAGTTTACATATAGGCTAAAACATCTGTATTATATTTGACAGCCCATTATCCTTGCGTCTAAGCCAGAGACATTCTTCAAGTAACATTTTAAATCAATATTTCAGGTTATTAGTAGCAATTACATGTTCTAGTAAAACAATAGTACAAAAAGGCCTTATAATTTATAGCAGTCCTATAAATGGTGCCTTTGGCTGTGGGGCAATTTCAACCTCTTATAAAAGTGTCTTTATTTTTAAAGGGGCCCTACACACCCCCCCCTGCCTGAAACGCCTTCATTGGACTCCTTTGTCTACTTCCGTAACATAATGAAATCACTACGTAACACTCGCTGTTCTATTGGCTAGTGCTCCAACACATTGTACGTGATAGGCTAAGGTGCTGCAGCACAGGCAGTATTGAACATTAAATAATGGAAACATCTCACAGGAGAGGCAAATACAAATATGAAAAAAATGTGCATAGTACCATGCACATTTTTGGCCCTTGATTGCTCTGGCCTGATTATAGGAAATAAAGACAAAAGGAAATAGATTTAAACTAAATATACAGTACTGGCATCTAAAAAGATATGTTGTAAAGTTTTCACTACAGAATATGATGCAGCCAGCTGGATGTTGGAAATGTCATTCCCACAATCAGAAAACTCACTTATAACAGAATTGAAACGGGGTCAGACAATATGAACAAACCTGCATTGCTGATACATTTTTTTTGCTGTTTACAATCAATACTTTTAGATCACATGACGTATGTACTGTAGTTCTTTTTGTACATGATAACTGTTTTTTTGTACTTCTATTCATTTAGGAAATTACTCAATGAGGCTGGATGATTACTTCACATGCTTAGGGATATACATCCTGATAATAGTAGTTCTTAATTTATTTCCGTTGTTATGTAATGATATTTTAGCTGAAAACACTTATACAATCACATGTATCTCAAATCATATGTTTTGGTGATTTCTATGTTTCAGTGGGCGCTCCGGCTGAAACATACTGCTGTTGTCAATCGTTGACACATGTATGTATGTTCTGTACATTTATTGAGTATTTTCCCCTTCCTTAAAGACAGTGATGGGAGCGTGAGCATGACCACACACACACGAACATCAGTGTCTAACGTTTGCTCCAACTTGTCCAAAGTCTCCCATGGTTACGGCATAACTATTAATCGCTGAATAAACTGTTTCATACTGCCCACATGTATGCCCCTAGAAAAGGAGACAAGTATCCTCACTGATCCATATTTATATATTATATATACGTGGAGCAGCACAGAAATCAGACCAGTGCTTTATTCTTTTCCAGGCAACTGTGTATTAAAGGGTGTTGGGAATACCATTACAATGTGCGCTTCTTCTCATTCATGTACAATGTATTTCTGACAGTATTACATCATCCATAACACTCCACATGCTTATACTGTACATGTACACGATTCATCCTAGCTATTAAAAGGAGAAAGGACCCACCCTGTGTTATCTTGAGTTTGTGAAGGATAAAAAAACAGAAGCCATGTCAAGATCTGATTAAGAAAATATCCTGAGTGATGTCATCAGGTTTATCTCAACTTGGGCTTGAGAGTGGAGGTGTGACAAAGCTACTTTACGCACTAAATGTATACCCTATGCACCACATACTAAAGTATTTATACACTGTAAACAGTAAATATACAATATAATCAGTCCAATTTGAAGTACGGTAAATCATATACTTTCTATGTCGTAGTACAACGTTTGAGTGTTGAATGTTACTGCCAGTTATACTTCAAAGCATAATGTGTTTCTGAGGACTTCCACATTTCTGCTTTGCTGACGCCTAAATTAAATACATTTTAGTAAAAGTCTGACAACACCTTATGCATCAGGCTGAGTTCAAGGATAACATCCAAAACAATTTGACACAAATGTACGACTTTATTTAAAGGATTCAAAGGCTTTTTTTGTCATATGCAGAATAACTACAGCGTAGTTTTGGCATTACATTATTATTACATTACATGTTACTTGTTAGGCGCTTTTATCCAATACTGTGGGCAATGTCATGTCCCAGGTTCCTCCACAATGCAGCATACATATATGCAAACAGAATGTCAAATGAAATACTGAACGGTAGATTAAATAATCTATGATATGTATAATACAGTGTCAAGTAGTACAATTAGAAGATTTATTACATGAGGATATGAACCGGCTTGGAGAGTAACAGAATACACAACGGGATTATGTAATAGGGATAAATAAATAAAAAAGTGTATCCCCTTACAGTTAAGAATAATAATACAACAACATATGTTATCAGATTACTGGTACATTTAGAAAAAGAAAAAATTGGGGATTACAATGTAACACTTCATTTTAAAATAAAGAACGATATATTACGAAGCCCATGCGCACACAGTGAAACACACATTCGATATTGAGGTTATCCAAATGTAACAGAAAGGTTACAGCTTATTGTCGTGAGAGTTACTGATTAAAACAGGTAACTAGTAACTGTAACGGAATACACTTTTAAGCCCAACTCTGGATCTTTTTAGGCCACCTAAAGAACACTTTAAAGCACTAAGGTATCAGGACATTTTACACAGGGTAACAAGCCCAACCCCTTCAGCTTGAGAATGAAACTGATTGCATTACAGACGGCTCTAAAGCTCCTCCCCTGTGATAAGGTTTGCCCTGCTGTGCTTGTCCTCTCAGGGGTCAAGAGTCTCGTTGTAATTCTCCACAAAGCAGAGTGAGCGGTCCAGCTGAGACATGAGGAATAACTGACTGCATTGGAGTGAAAGAAAGACTAATGAAGAATGACCAGCAACCAGGAAGTAAGTGTTGTAATAATGGAGCAAGACAAACAGAGATGTTATTGTAAGTTGTGCTCAAGGACAGCGTTAACTTTTAAAAGCTCAGTGACTGTAGTTAATCTTTACTCAGGGTGTAGACTGTATGTAAAAGAACCTATGAATTGAGAACATGCTGAACACATAATGTGACAATGTGTAAACACAAACAAAAGCTGCTGTTAAACCTGTTCAATCTTGTCAGTCATCAGCGGACATACAGGAAACAGAGTTTGGGAGTCCTGCCCTTTCCAAACAGAGGAGGATCATCTACTTCTCCAGCGGTGAGACCATGGAGGAGGAAGACAGCGAGGAGGAAGAGGAGCGGTCATCAGACAGGCCTCCCTTCAGAGAGCCTGCAGAGAAGGTGGGACACTGTTTACAGCAGTAATGACACGTTTACCGACGGCTCAGTTCTAGGCTGTGCAACCACTCAAAGCGCTTTATGACAACACAGGTCAGCATTCAAACATCCACACACACTCACACACAAGGCCGGATTAGTATCTCCAGGGGCCCCTGGGCACTGAGCGCTCATGGCCCCCCCCCCAACCCACGTACCAACAAGTAACAACACGCCTACCCAATCCTACCAACATGACCAATATTTAGAATTTTCAGTCAATCCGGCATGTCAATCGAACACCTCTTTGTCAAAAGCAGGAATATAGTTCAACCAAAGTAGGTCTAGCCTTTTGCCCGTTCAGTCAACAATCACAAGACAAAGATACAATGGATAAGATCTCAAGACAGTGTATGGCTCAAGAAGACCTATATAATATCACTCAAAACCTCAGAGCAGCACCCCACTTAATGCCAAAATATGACTGGCTGGCTGTGGCTGTACAAGTACACGAGGAGTTCTATTAGTCACACACATTGAGAGTTACAAAAGTATGTAATGTAGTGAAATTGTGTGGTTGCTCAAGCGTGGGGCTGTGATTCGGCTATACACCGCCGCCGCGTAGTAATAAAGTTGAGCGCATACATAGTGAGACCTACAGTACAGAGACGGTTTAGAAAATATATTAATTTGACCCTATAGAAAAGCTGTGTTATTTATGGTGAAGATTGAGTGTCATTTAAAACAATGTATGATGAGTGAGGTTGTAGCAAACAAAACACACATTAGCAACTTGCTAATGGGGCACATCCCATAACGCTCAAACATTATTCAGGGCCTGAGATACACCAACACACCAGGGGCGGCGCCAGGGGGGAGCTAGGGGGTGCTGAAGCACCCCCTAAGCACCCCCAAGAAATATGTGTTTTGTTTTTTTTCTTCCAAAAATTATTATTTTTATTAAATTAAATTAGAAATATTAATGATTACATCAATGCATATGTGAAACAAACACATGTTTGACCAAAAACATAAAGCCAACACAGGTGATATGATTAGGCCAATGGCCAGCACCCATTCGATGTTTGACCTACCCATAGGCTAAATTACTTTGTGACACTTGAGTGACTTCCTGTTAGCTAGAGCGCCAAATGATTTGCTAACAGCAAAGTGAAAAATTGATAATTTTTTAGTCCTTAAACGTCCATATAATAGGCCTCGTGAGTACAAGTAGCTTACTTCTGGGTCTCTGTGTTTCATTCAAGCTCTGCTCGCCTCGCGCACCAGTGGGTATCTACCGGAGATCATTGTGGTTAGCATCTGGTGCTAGCTAGCCAAGCTAACGGATATAAGGAGCTTTTTCAACAACAAGGTGGAGGGAGAACTCTCTCCTGTCAGACTGAGAGTCTCAGATAACCTCAGCTCAGGTGAAGTAAAGGACTCTCTCAGTGTTTAGATAGTTAACTTTAGTCTAGTTATCTCAGTGGGTCTCAAACGGTTTGTTTTAAAAGGCGAGTGATTTGTAAAATATCTATAAAGAAATAGAAAATCTGTTGACAGTTCTGTTTCATATGGGTGTTGAGAGATGTATCCATAGATCTCTTAATGTTGCTCTCAAAGTGCACCAGATTGATGCTTTTAACTTCAATATTTAAAAAAAAATCTTCCCGGGGGAGCATGCCCCCGGACCCCCCGAGAGGAGGTGAGGTCCGCTCCCCACTTATATCACTTTACCCCTGCCTATATGCCGTGAGCTGATTATCGAGCCTTCATTGTAACAGTCGCGGGTGCACTGTGTGTGCGTGTGGGGCGTGTTGAAGTAGAAAGTTCAACTGTAGCGCTGGTGCATTAATGGGAAACCCTAAATGTTTGAGCACCCTCTATGAAACGCACGCACACACACACACACACACACACACACACACACACACACACACACACACACACACACACACACACACACACACACACACACACACACACACACACACACACACACACACACACACACACACACACACACACACACACACACACACACACACACACACACACACACACACAGCAATATTTGTGTTCTGTGGTACTTGACGTATAAAACGTTACAAAAAAAAGAAGACAAAAAACATTAGTAAACATGAGAACCTCCTAAACCCAGGAATTAAAACGTTAATTTGCCATCTTATCAAGTATAAAGTTTGGCACTGCTCTGTATGTAATGAATTGTAAAAAGTGATACAGATAACACTGAGAACCGCAAGGGAAACCTTTTTAGTACATGGGGACATTTAGTCTCTCAGAACTGTTAACAATACAATAGAACATGCTGAATAGGTATAAGAAGAAACTGGCTCCTCGAAATTAGCAGTCTTTATACTTGATGACATCACAAGTCTGAGACGTACTTCTCTGGATTTGGCTTTGAGAGAGAGTAGCTCATGTTTCTTCAGCCAAGGAAACAACATATTGATCCACAGCTGTCCCTTATGGATGTTGATAAAGGGACACTTAAAACATAATGTTTATATGTTATTGCTATGGTATAAGGACCTTTAAACATCGGGGACAGGGAAATGCAAATACTGGCCTGCCAATATTAAACCTCTGGGGCTTTTATTGTGAAAGGTCAGAAGTAAGGAGTTGATCTAGCCATCATTTGCTGTTTGAAGTTCAAATACACGGTCATTATTCCAGGAGAAAATGATGTCTATTTTAGCAAATTCATATTTGTATTACGTGTGAAACTTGAAGTAAAACAAAGCAACAAAAAAAAATCTCCTGGGGTGTAACGACGTCAAAAAATATGAGTTGATCAAATGTTCTTGGGCCATTGAAATAACTTATTGTAATTGTTATAAAGGTTCCCCTTCAGGTATGAGTCATGTTACTCATTCTATTCTGTCTCCTCTCTCAGGCTAGGCTGTCGTTCAGGAATGTGGCTCTTCTGGTTGGGAGGATTTCCCTGCTGAGTACGTATTTAATAATTAAACACATTCAAAGCATACAATATAAACAATAGGTCCAATTTTTGCTTTGGAAAATGTCTCACTAAGTTGTTGTTGTTGTTGTTGTTGTTGTTGCCAAAATTAGCGTGTGATTTCCTTGGAGAGAGACTGGCCGGGGCCCTCGGACTGAAAGCAGCCAAATACCAGTACGCCATCGACCAACATCACAGAGACCACAAGGTAGAGTCAGATTAAAGAACAACATACTTTCCTAACAAATGTACTTTGCCACTTTTGGAAAAAACACTGAAGGCCGAAACATAGCTTTTTAATGCACTGCTCGATTTTTGGATCCATAACCCATAACATGTGGAACAAGTGGAAAGAAAATCCAAAATACACATTTAGGTGTTCATTTTAACAACCTATTTGTGTCCGTACATTTCAATGAACTCACCAAAAAGCTATAGATAAATAGCATATTATAAAATCACATTTCAGAAGAACTTGTACTACAAAAAATAATTAACATAAAACAGATGTGACGTCTATGAGTTCAACTTTTTTTCCCCTCTTTACGGCGATTTTATACAATTGAGTTTTTCCTCATACTCACTTACAAACACTACACTAATATTTGATATTCCTTTCTATTTAGCCTTTACCAAATATTGTCGTTTTGATATTGCAAAAGTCACTATTGTGATTTCGATAAAAGTCTGATTAATTGTGCAGTACTATTATAAACTTCTTGTATAGTAACACTGTAGTTTTTCAGGGCAGGACATGTGTGTTGATATTACACTGACAGCCGGATGGTTATTTCTGTTTATCACCCACTGCTCTTCCTGTATCTCACTCACAGACAAAAAGCAGCGGGGCGTCAGAGGACCTGATGGAGGGAGGGGGGGAGAAGATCTGCCTCTCCACGGGACCGGAGGGGAGTCATTACGGAGCTGCGGGAGAGGAGCGATGCCCGGCCGGTTCTCAGGAGAGATGTGATCAGAAACAAGAGGACACGAGGGAAGGGTGTTACAACAGAGCATATCAAGCAGAGGAGCTTCAACTGAAATAAAACTAAGAAGGGAAAAGCAGAGGGATGAGGGCGGTGGGGGGGGGGGGTTTGATGTGAAAACCAAAAATAATTAGTTGGTATACCAAAGAGAACGTTTTTAAATGTACTTTGTTACGTTCCACCACTGGCTATTTACAACAAGTGGATAGAAAACATCTAAAATACACATTTTGTTGCTGATTTTATTAAGATTAACATTTTTGTAAATATTGTCCTTTTGTGTTTAAGTGTTATACTTGGGGGTTTGTCTTGTAATACCCCAAATAATTTGACAACCTTATTTTTAAGGCACAACAGCTGGTATACCAAAGTGAAACCCAATGCTATGGTGGATGATTCATTTTTTCCTGAAGTAAAATTACCAATACTAAATTGTAAACATACTCCATTAAAGTAAAATTCCTGCATTCAAAATCTTGCTTGAGTAAAATGTCATAAGTATTAGCATCAACGTATACTTAAAGAGCCTGTGACAGCATCCCAACAACTGTTGTGCAATGAAATATTGGGCTGCTAGTCATCTCGAACCGTCAGTTTAAAAAAGAAGGTGCGATACCGTTCCGATTCTTTCACACACACATACGGGTATTGGGCCGGGGGCGACACCGTACTTCCGGTATCCGCCGTTTTACGCGAGCTGCAAGCAGGCAGCCGTACACCGTCTAGGTGTTGCTAAGCTTCCTGTACTGAATATCCAACCCAGTCTCATAAAAAAACATGTAATAATTACGTTGGTCCACAACGTAGGACGTAGTATTTCTACAAAAACGCCTCGGAAATTGTAAAATACCTACGTTTTTTTTTTACCATTCATTCCAATGACTGGCGTCTATGTCACGTGATCTTCAAATTTCTCCCTGCAGAAAAAAAAAACATGGCCGAACTTCGTTTTATTCTCGGTGTAAAATGCCTATTTTAAAGTTAGTTTGGCCATTAAAATGCCTTTTGATGTCATTTGATGCGAGAAATATGAGTTGTTATTTCAGATTATGTGTGCAGTGGATGCACATGATCTTTAGTTTGCTAGTTATTACGAAGATTACTTCAGGAAATTGTGTCTATACAACGTTTTCATTGTCACCAAGGTGGTTGCTAGGGATGCTGCTATCGATATTATTTCTGTTATGTTGTGTAACTGTTTAATGGTGTTATCTTTATTGCTACCCCAACCACCCCCCTACCCCCTTCCCCGTCACTGTATAGTGTTGGTCCACAGCGCAAACGTATTAGTTTAACAAAATCCGCATCTAAAATTGTGGCATAGATCGCCTACACGTTATGTTCCCCTGTGCAATTCTCCATTTACTCAACAATAACACATAATTATCCTTGTGTTTATTTATTTGTTTGATTAATTAATAAACACAAGTTGGAGTCCGTCAGGACCGAGGGTCGGAGCAGCTCATTTGCTTTACAGAATATTACACCCGGAAGTAAGTATTCTCTCCGCTTCGCTTGACAAACCCTGTGATAGTCCTCAAGCTCTGTGATTGGAGAGTGTGCCGAGCGTCGAACAGCACTTGAAATGGGATGGAACCACGGCAGAATGTCCAAAACTGGATTTGAACGGGTCCACCCCGTCCGCCCCTCCCCCACCCCGTCCCCAGAACTACACATGCTGGCTATTGTGTTTCGCAACATGTTCTCTATCTATGGCACGTCTCTACTGGGAGTTGTAGTTTTAAAAGACGTTTTCGTATTTCCCATAATAAGAAGTGGCCAGTATTAAACTGTGTACATTCCTGGAGGTTTAGGGGATAGGAAACACTCAAATGTAAAACATATAATTAATAAATGGGTGAAAATTGCTTGTACCCATAATGGGTAGCATTACCCACATGCCAGCTAAGGTCAGAAGAGCTTTATTTAACAGCTGGTCTTATGTTTGTGACCCCTCCTGTTGTTAATTGATGAGCCTGAAACATGCACTTGTCAATGTTCAGAGGCACATTTTGCAAATATGGCAGTAGCCATCGATCATCTTAAGATAAGATATACTTTATTGATCCCAAGTTGGAAACATTTGCGTTACATCAGCATGTGTAACAGTTGTAAATTTTAATTAATTTTAATTTAATTTTAGATTGTAAGTTGTTTATTTGTAAATCATTTAGTATAATCACACACATTTTGTGTTTTATATTTAATAATTCTGTGTTCTTTATTTATTGATTGTTCAATACCTGACAAGGCCGGAGATGAAAAACTTTGGTCGCAGGTTCCTCAACAGTGCATTACAAGACATCTATCAATATGTGTGTACCTCCACCATTAAACTGTCGTATTCTGCACATTTATTATACTATCTACATACATCTTATATAAGAGCATAATACATATGTATAATATCAGTTAAAATAAGTGCTTCAACATAGTTAACATTGCTGGAGGTATACACAAAGTTTTTCATTCATTGCATAACTACACCGTGATATGTCAATAAACCTTAGAAAATCTTGAAATCTTGAAAGGGATGTGCAAAATAGTCATTATATACAGTCTTTAATTATCTATTAGTAGAGAATAACAAGTAATGAATATACTTTATAGGGATCCTATTTATATCTAATAATAAAAATAATGAAATTCAATAACATGCTTTAACCACTAGGTGTCCCTTTATATCAGCTGTGCACCTTTATGGTGTAAATACAGCCTATCTACCAATTGGATCAAATATAAAAGTCAGCCGAATTAGTGTTGATACTGCAAGGAGACGTATTGTGTGAAAAGAAATGTAAGATGTTGTTTAATTGCTGATATATTTATGATCCATGTCACGTTTTCAGTGTTGGCGGCAGTTCCTCATGTTTGTCTAGAAGTCTTCTCATCAGGGCTCTATAAATAGAGAACTACGGCAGATATGTAATATTTAATGCAGCCGAACCGTGTATTACAATGCCGTTATGTGATGACTTTCAAAGAGAAAAGCAAGCACACTCGGAATAAAGTGTTTTCGGTCTGTTTCCGGTATTTGTTTATGACGATGTGCTGTGAGATGTGAGACTGGAATTGCACAGGGGAAAATAACGTATCTATGCCACAATTTTAGATGCGGATTTTGTTCAACTAATACGTTTGCGCTGTGGACCAACACTATACATTGACGGGGAAGGGGGTAGCAATAAAGATTACACCATTAAACTGTTACACAACATAACAGAAATAATATCGATAGCAGCGTCCCTAGCAACCACCTTGGTAACAATGAAAACGTTGTATCGACACAATTTCCTGAAGTAATCTTCGTAATAACTAGCAAACTAAAGATCATGTACATCCACTGCACACATAATCTGAAATAACAACTCATATTTCTCGCATCAAATGACATCAAAAGGCATTTTAATGGCCAAACTAACTTTAAAATAAGCATTTTACACCGAGAATAAAACGAAGTTCGGCCATGTTTTTTTTTTCTGCAGGGAGAAATGTGAAGATCACGTGACATAGACGCCAGCCATTGGAATGAATGTTGAAAAAAAACGTAGGGATCTTACAATTTCAGAGGCGTTTTTGTAGAAATACTACGTCCTACGTTGTGGATCAACGTAGTTATTACACGTTTTTTTATGAGACTGGGTTGGAATATCATAGTCTATTGCCTTAATCAATATCTAGTCAACTGTAAAATACCACATATATGCAATGGCATGATAATATTATTGTGACAAGTGGGGTATTCACCTGGTGTTTCCAGAAATTAGACGTAGATGCAGCCAAAATCGACGAAGGCCACTTTCGAGGGTCGTAATTCCATACATTGTAAGGGCAATCAGACAACCCACACAGCTCTAGTTTACGCTGGTAACGACCTAGAGCACACCCCTCAAGTCCAGAGATGTAATGCGAAGACATGCAGCGATTTCTTTGGTCGTTAATTCAGAAAAAAAACCTAGTGCGCTCTGCCTGGCTACGTTAGCTAGCTGTTTATATTTGAACTTCCAGGATATTTGCACTTCCAGGAAAATGGCGTATTTATATATATATATATGGCGCGTGTTGCATTGTGGGTAGCTCGTGACGTCACTATGTGTGAAAGAATAAATATCAATAATTTCGAACATCGCGGGGAAATTCCTTCGACTCATTTTGCAGTTTTGGGGGAAGCCGGAAGTGACGTCAATGCGGGAACGCTTCACTGTGCGGCGAGAGAGCCAAACACGGACAAAGTGTGTTGTCATGCGTAGAAATGGTGAATTACTGAGTTTAGGCACGTTAATAACGTTTTAATGAAGTTGACTACAGTATATTCATAGTTGTCAGTGCTTTCATGTCAATTCGGCGAACATAAACATAAATGATCGTGGTGAAGATGATGATTAAATTAGGATTACAAATCGGTAGTGAGAGCTGCTGAATTTCCTCCCGTCGGATGTGATATAAAAACAAATGGATTATTTTTGTAGTTGTAAACTCAAGTGGATGAAACTACATGAATTAGTGCTTTCATGTCAATTCGGCGAACATATGATACATTAAATGATCGTGAGGATGATGATTAAAAATCGTTTGTTTCTGCATTTCCTGATGAGAAAACAAACCGATGCTTTTTGTAGTTGTAGTACACCAACATGGATTAAACGTGTGTTTTTTTTTACCACAATGTTGAGGAAATTAATGGATAAAATGCACGGATTATTATTATTATTATTATTCCCACTCCGATCGGGACACTAGGTCCACCGTTTCCCCGCAGCGAGGCTCCCCCCGTTGACAGTTTACGTGGGCTGGGCTGGGTGCAGTGGCGGACTGGCCATAGGGACGAATCCCGATGGGCTGGTACCGAAGTGGGCCGGTCGGATAAGTCACTAGCACATCCCCCACTCCCCCCGTTGACAATTTACCAGCGGTACCGAAGTGGGCCGGTCGAGAGTCCCGGGATGATTTTTAGTCCCAGTCCACCACTGGCTACATGACCGTATGATCGCCCATATTGACGCACCTAATTCCTAAACTTCTAACAGATACAACATAAACCGATCCTTCAGCCTCATATGAGCTCTCAGACACGTTCAACATTAAACTGTCATCGCTGTCTGAGCTTGCTGCTGTGTGCGCCATCGTGCGTTTACATGCAGATGCTGGGATCCTGAACGGTGCAGCTGGAACGCTGTGCCCGCAATGACGTCACACATAATTTGGCTGGACTTGAAGAATCCCCGAGAAGATCCAGAAAATTGTCAACATTGAAGGGCAGATTAATGGTTGTCAAAGTACAAATATCCAAAATCAGTTCAGTAACGGTTTTCAAGGGTGTAAGGGAAACTTCTGTGTAGCAATGCAGTGGGAGTCACCGACTCAGGAAGGAGACACGGTAGGAGCAGGAACTTTGATGTCAAAACACTGGAGGTGTATTTGGAGTTACGGCCGGAGAGATTCACATTACAAGTCCAAGAGCCAGAGGTTCTGACTTCACGGTAGAGTTGCCACGTCAATTCTAAAGAACTCTACCTCAGACCCATGTATTTAACTAGTTCCGAGAGCATCATCAAACTGCTGCATAACAAGATAAAATCATAACACCTCTATAAGCTGACGTCAACAGGCAGGAACATAGAATCATAATACCTCTATCAGCTGACGCCAACAGGCAGGAACAGGGAGACAGAACACTGAGAGCACAGCAGCCAAGGTTACGAGGTGCGTGTGCTCAGTCAGGACAGTTTGAACTGATAAACTGGGTCAAAGTTATGGGCCTTGGAAAATATTCCACAACAAAGGGGACAATATTTACTCAAATTGATGGGTTTGGATGATGGGGGAAACTCGTGTCACAGGCTCTTTAAAGTACCACAAGTAAAAGTAGGCTACTTATTGTGCTTAATAGCCCCTTTCAGAATCATGTAATAAATTACTGTCACAGATGCACTAATGTGTTCCTCACAGCTGGTAAATGTGGAGCAAAACTTAATAACATGATATACTGCTGCTGGATAACATATAAATATAAAAATATAGTTAAAGTACCAAAAGTAAAAGTTTTGCAGATTGGTCCATTTCAGAATAATATATATGATATGTTTTATAATGATTGATCATGAAAGTGTTCTCAAAGCTGGTATAGGTGCAGCTAGTTTGAATGACTTTGTATACTGCAGGGTAGCTTGTGAATTTACTTCAGGTGGAACTAAAGTCTGATTAAAGACATGATTATATTTCACATCATTAATCCACATCTGTAAAGTAACTAAAGGTATAGGCTATTACATACATGTAGTGGAGTAAACGTACACCATTTACCTCTGAACTGTAGTGGAGTAGAAGTAGCCTACAAAGTAGCATCAAAGTCAAGTAAAGTACAACTATCTCAAAATTATACTTAAGTATAGCCTACAGTACTTGAATAAGTGTACTTAGTAACTTCCCTCTATGACTTCAAGTCATGTGATCATTTCTTAGTATTTGATCCTTCAACTTGGCCTCAGAAAATGCAAGGACTTCACAGTTTGGCAACAAGTTTTGGAGAAAGCAAATCGGAGGCAAAAGAGACAGGGAGGTGCTTCTTAATGTGTAAATAGAGGACAGTGAAGGAGACACTGATGAGTGTGGGGGGTGAGTACCAAAACTCTGTCTCCTGGTAGTCATCCAAAAATGAAATACTATATGACAGTAAAACAAGAATAGAGTTTAAAAGGGGAGTGATTTGTAAAATATCCATAAAGAAAAAGTAAATCTGTTTACAGTTCTGTTTTATATGTGTGTTGAGAGATCATGGACACGGGAAGGGGGGGTGCTGAGGGGTCTGCAGCAGCCCCATCTGCGAGGCTCCACCCGCAACCCCTCTGCACCCCCAAACGCGGCGCACCTACAGTGTAAGCGTGCCACAGTCTTTTTCCGCAGGTTATTCTGTTGATCACTGCTGACTTTTCCCTGAATCCATTCTTGTGAAAGGTGCACTCCGGTGGGTTTTTCTGTGAGCGGCAGGGAGATCAATATACTTTTTGCCTCTTTTCAAATCTCACATCCAAAATGTTTTATTTTTTCTGAAAGCCATTCCACTCACTCCATCTTTTCTGTGTCCAGTTAAAAGGCAGGTCATGGGCATCGCTAGTGCAGTTGGCGCCGGCGGTTGTGGCCTCTTCCGGCTCCGCATCGGCAGGCCTCTCCCTCGGTGTGGAGCTGTCAAACTCGACCCTAACGCCGCTTACAGCCGGCCAACTAAAAATTGTTCCGTTCACATTGTCATTTTTAGACTCCTTCGCTTCTTTGCTTGTGAATCCAAAAGCTGCGAGGTTTGGCTGTTTTCGTTTCGCCATATTTTTTATTACAAAGGCAGAGTTAAAAAAATATCAATATGAACATTTCAAATACCGCGCCGGCATCACCACCGTAACCATATCAACGTAAATAGCGTAAAGAATCCAGCGCCACCACGTACAGATGGCAACACCCAGAAATATTCACATATATAAAACAAATATTCAGAAACTGTAATGAACAATGACTATTATTTATTTCAAGATTTTTTATTTACAGAAACTCAACATTTCTAATCTGTGTGACACAAATATGCACCATTTTTTTTATCTCAAAGTCGGCCTTCAGGGGAGCTCCCCCCCACTTTAGGGGAGCTTGGATCCCCCTGGCTCCCATTGCACCCCCCCCCCCCCCACTGTGGGCTAAGCCCCTAATGTTTCCAGGTCCAGGAAACGCCCCTGATGAGTACACAGCGAAAAGAAACACAACAATCTTAGTAGTTGTTTTCTAGAATAGCTTAACGTGATATTGGGCTATATAAATAAACATTGATTGATTGATGGTTACTCAAATAAACCTAATTTTCAATGACCTTTGAGTTACTGTAATTTACAGAATGTAAGACTGTAACATAAACCTTACAGGTGAAATGAATGAAGCCATTGTAATATCTAGTCTGAAGCGTTAGCTAGCAGCTAACATTAACAAGAGCAGACCGGGAAAGAGCCGTTTGACAAAACAAGATGACAACTATTAACCGCCCTGCCGGCAAAAACTAAAATGCACAAAAGTTCATGATCATCTTGTAATTACCCTTTTTCTTCTTGTTATCGCTGTCGAAGAGGGAGTGGGCGTTTCTGCTGTTCTTACTGAGCAGGGATTGGACCAAAACCAATCACCGCGGGATAACATTGGACGTAAACCAATCATTGGTTAGTTAGAAACTGTTAGCAACGGTTATGAAAAGTGTTAGGAGTTGTTAGGAATTGTTAGGATTTGGGTTAGCAGGCCATTGGAGGGATGACAGATTCTTACAACATTCAACAGAGAGAAGTAGAGACGTTATGAAATGGAAGGGCAGCAGCCGAACAGAAGGAGGTTAGAGTACGTTTTTTTTTAAAACGTTAATACATCTCTCTCCACTCATTTTTTGTCAGTGTTCCGCTATTTGTCTATTGAATAATAAAAGAAAACTAATCAGTGGCTAGCCAGCTCAGTGTGAGTAAACACTTTAAGGTCTCTTCAATTTTATTTCGTTTTAGAAAACGTTTATGACATATCAACAAACACTTAGCGTGTTAAAGGTGACAAAAAGGTGACAAAAAGAAAACATCCGACGAGGATGGGATTCGAACCCACGCGTGCAGAGCACAATGGATTAGCAGTCCATCGCCTTAACCACTCGGCCACCTCGTCCGCGATGCACTACTCCTGTCACGTGGCCTATAAAAACCAATCTAATAACCCATCTATCGGTATATTAATCATTCTTTTTTCATTTTCACTCGTATTCATGGAGTCATTAATCATAATCTTAGTTAAACTAACTATGGCAAAGACGTAGCTTGCTAACATGCTACTAAGCTGTGCTAATGTGCTACATTTTCTAAAGTGTGGAGCAAATGTCTCACTCTTTTATCCTTAACCAAGCACAACATACCTGCCCGGTTACATCGAGGAACGTTGGTATTGCGAGGTGAATAGAGCATAATCTTAAATATTCTGAAACACTGCTAACAAACCTCTACTTTAAATTAAAATGTAGCATTAGCTAAGGATGGCAGGCTACCGTGTACATGTTTACAAAGCACAATCGTTATAGAAATATCTAATGGGTCGATTAAAATTGATATTATGTAGAGTGAGATTGGGAGAGAACAAGGAGCTAAATTATTGTTCGCAGCACGTTCTTTCAAGAGATTCGTAGTGTGAAAATCAAAGCGACAAAACCACTGAAGCCACCATTTTCAATTGCTTTGCTCCCTCAAACTTGGGGTCTTTTACGATCTCACCTTATAGCCGATTTCGTTTACAATGTCGACTCAAATTATTACAACCTTTGAATTAACCAAAGACTGAATAAACACAGAATAGTACTTGCCTGGGTATTGGTCGCCATCTAGTGGTTGAATTAGATAATTGCAAAAACACAAGTGATTGCTTCACCTTCACATGACTCTTAACAAAAGTTCCTTACAAACGTGTGCGATTCTTCATAGAACTGCATGCTTTTGCAATGTTGTGGAAAAACATCTGGAGAAAAACGAAGCCAACATTGGAACAGCATCTCCTGTAAAAATGTCAAGTGCTTGATGTTAGCACATACATCATACAAAATAACACATAATCAATAAGGGATTTTAAGGGACCTTGTTGTGTTGGGTTATGTAACAACATCAGATTAGTGCTGAGCGGTATACTTATACTTTTATAAAACGGTTACTTGATTTGACTTGTCTGTTTTATAATGTTTCATACAGAATACAGTGAACTTTATACTGTATGAAATTAATTTTTCAAATACCGCAATACCGTTGAAAAAGTGGCAAAGGACACTCAAGCGGTGCGGCAATGAAAGGAGTCCCCATTCAATCATAAATGATAAAATAAGTATTTAAATGTGCATTCTGCAGTTTCAGGGAAGGGGGAATTGTTTACATTTTCAAACAGTGCTTTTGTTGTTAGTTGTTATGTTACTTTGTGGTACGCAAAGTTTGCACAATTAAATGGTTTACATTTTGCAGTTGTTTCATGCATTCTGATTCCTTCAACACATAAGATGTATGAAGGCCACCACTGATCAGGTGTTTTTTCGTGGGGCCAAAACAGATAAATGTAAATACATTTCCAATCATTACAAAATAAATAAATTCCGTGATACCATTATAATTTGGAAAAAAACCGTGATATGAATTTTGTTGTCATACTGCCCAGCCCTGCAACACATTTTAAAATAGATTGGAAGGTGGTGTGAAAAACAAGCATGCCACTGCAGACGTATGCACATGTCCACTTCATAAAGTAACTCACTAATCAGTAACACTGTTAAGTCAAAGTCCTTCAGTTACTCTTTATAACCCACATGTACTTCATCTAGGGCTAAAGGTCTTACCTTGTTAACATGCACATTTAGAGCAGAGCATTTACTTGGTGACAGTGTGATGATGGAGCGAGTTCTGTTATTGTTCGGACTGGTGGCTCTGGCCACTTCATTCACTGTAAGTATTCATTCACTGGAAGTATTTATTATAGTTAGCCTAATGTGATCAACTATTAACTTCACTGGTTTTTATCTTTTATCCAGATACCTGCTGTTGCCCCTGAGGTTCATGGTAGGCCAAAACATGATCGTACTTAAAAGAAATACCAGTTGTTGAAAGGTGATGAATAGAATTTGAGGTGTGTTTGTGTTACAGAGGTGTATGAGAATGGCGAGGATGAGAACCCCATCCTGAATAAAGGTGAGCTGCAACACTTGAATTGATCATTCCTCCTGCTCATGTATGTACTCGACTAATGTGTCAAATGATGAGCAAAACTGCATTTTTGTTTTGGCTTATTTAAATAAAATGTGTTGTTTGTCTCCCACTGTAGGATCAGACGCCAACCTGTTCGAAGGGGACATTTTAATTCCAGTAAGTTGCATTTTGTTTTTATTTTATGTTATCTGTGAAACATGCTTATTCATTGCTAATAACTCCTTGAGTGTTTTATTGGCAGCTTTCTTTATTACCACATGTTGACTGTTGATCCTTGTTTTGATTTACTACAGTGATATATTTATGTCAGATAACTAGATATGCTTTATTATGTGTTTTTATTCACCTTGATAAGGTTTATGGACATAATATGTCAACATAATAATTTATAAAAACCCTTTCATGATTCAGGAGGGGAGGAATGCCTTGATTGAAAAGCGATACAGATGGAAATTTCCAATTCCTTACATCCTGGGTGATGATTTAGGTGAGTTTAGTTTACATTTTCAGTGCACTTTCAACACTGTGTTAACTTGACTTTCATATTTGTGTCCTCTTATAATTGTTTCTTACACTTATCAGATCTGAACGCCAAGGGCTGCGTCCACCAGGCGTTTGAGATGTACAGGCTGAAGTCCTGTATCGACTTCAAGCCTTATGAGGGAGAGAAGACATACATCAAGTTTGAAAAGAGAGGAGGGTATGGCTACGTTTCAAAATAAACTGTTGATCGCTGCTTCAGAATAGATACCAGTTAAACACTTAAAGGTCACCTATCATGCTATTTTTAGGCAATAGCATAGGTCTCAGATATATAGAAATATATACAAAACATGTCTATTAAGTGTTTTACTCAAAATACCAAACAGATCACCCATTCTAGCCATGCCTCATATCCCTCTATTTCACTTCCTGTTTCAAAAGTGCTGATTTTGGGTATAAAGCTTTAAAAAAAAAAAAATTGATAAAAAAATTAAAAAGGAGGGGGCTGAGCTCATGCGGGACCCGGCAGCTACTGTCTAAACTAAATACTGCCGTGATGAAACGCCATATCATGGATTATCAAGGATTCTCTCTGAAACAGTCTGGAGCTCAAAGGCTTTCTCTCTTGCCGGTTATACCACAAGGTGAGTTCCTTTTTACTTCCTGCTTCTTCACACACATGCTCTCCAGTACAGGTTAGCTCTGAGTGTTAGCGATGCTAATGTAAACACCGACCATATTACGTCCAAAACAGTCGGGCATTGTTTCTGATAGCAACGTTTCTGATTGGGCCGTGGGTCCACATTTCTGATATTACGTCATATCGGACGCAAATCTGGATCAGCTCCGTTGTTCCCCGTTTTTAGAGATTTGGGTACGGAGGAAAAGAGAGAGGGTTTTATTTCCTGACGCTGCGTGAGTTCCCCGACACACCGGGGACACATATTTATGTATAACAGACATCAAAAAGTGCATTTTGCATGATCGGTCCCCTTTAAATAGGTTTCGTGTGAAATGTTTATTTTAATATCATGCCAATATTATCCACCTCAATTTGGCCTATTGTCAATCACAGATTATTTTCCCACTTAGTTGCAGAGAAACATCAGTATCTCCTGCAGTGGAATAAACACATCATTATGCTTATATGATAGCTTTACCTCAATAATTTAGACACTGAATAAAGTATGGATACATACATTATAGGAGCCTATGATGGGGGGCTATTGCTCAGGGGTCTATGGTTAGATCCCAAGTGGGTGTCCAGGGTGTCCTTGGGCAAAAACCCCAAAATTGCTTGCATATGCATGTCTGTATAGAAGAGTGTAGTTGCTTTGGATAAAAGCCACATCGCAATACAATCAATAAAAACCTTTAAAAAGAGGCTTTATAACTTTGCACTGAATGAATGTCGGTGTTTGGTTTCAAAGCCTTTCTGGCTTCTGCCTGTGTGCCGATATCAGCTTTAATGATGGGTCTAAATGCAGCTCACTTTATTGACTGTCTCTCCTGTCCCAGGTGTTTCTCCAGCGTCGGGGACCAGCAGGACGGTCAGATTCTGTCTCTGGGGTCGGGCTGTGATCACAAGGCGGTGATTGAACACGAGCTGCTGCACGCTCTGGGATTCTACCACGAACAGTCCCGCACCGACCGGGACGACTACGTGGACATCTGGCTGGATCAGGTCACTCCAGGTACGTCTACGAACCTTATGATCCCTCCATTTATTTCTTTTTGCATTTGTTTAATGTAAAATCATTATATGACAATTGTTATTTTAACCCTCTAGCACAGTGGTTTTCAAAGTGTGAGGCGAGAGAGAGAGAGCTTCACGGGAGGCGCAGCGTGAGAAAAAAATAACGAGAAACAGTGAAATCTAGCTAGTTAACTTCAGCTAACTTTATGCGAGCGGCAACATGGATCGATTTTTAGTAAAGTTACCTAAAGTGAAAGAGGAGACAGCGTCTGGCAGAAAACATCAGCTTTGTTTTGAAATAAAAGTTGTGGCTCATCGGACATTTATGAGAGAAAATCCCTAATGTCCGTGTGCAAATTAATGCAGCACAAGACGCAAGCCTTGTAACCCCTCCCCCGGCCCTGGCGCGAGCCGGCGATTTCATTTGAACTGGACGGCGCATTCGGACTCAAGTACACGGAAGGAATGAGGTATTTGCGGTCTACAATGACAGAGAAGAGACTGTCAAGTTTGGCTGTACGCAGCATTGAATCAAAACGCACTAAAGCTGTTGATCTTAATAAGTTTGTGAGGCGTTTTGCTGAACAAGATGGTAATCGCCGCATTCAGCTGTTATAGGCATGCCAACTTGATGCTCTGTTCACGGATGACTCGATGAGCATAGAGAGGCGAAGTCCCGCCCATCTACTTCCGACCCATGGGACCTTATTTCGGAAAAATTATGTATTGAAGTCAATGGGGAGAGAAAGATTATCTTTCGATCCCGTATAAACTGTGCCATGAATTACACATATGATGTTTGTCCATCTTAAAAAATAATTTCCATGTCAAAAAAGTCAAAGTTTGTCGTAAAACTGTTGAAATATAAGACTATGAAAAATACGCAACTAGAAAGACTACAACTCCCAGAATCCCGGTCCCGCATGCTGGCTCTTACGGAACCGACTAACTCCCCTTTTGTGTATGTACAGGGTTAGGGTTAGGCCAGACTTGGAGTGATTTTCACCTCTTTTAATACTTTTCGCCTCACTCTGAAGGAAAGAAGTGAAATGTTTCAACGTGACGGCCGACTTGGTGTGTGGTGTGTGGTGCGAGACGGGAGATGTAGGTCATGGAGCGGTTTCACACAAAATAGAAGTGTTACTTCACAGTTTTACGACACATTTTTATTTTTTTGACTTTCAAAATTATCTTCTAAATTGACAAATATCATATGTGTAATTCATGGCACAATTCAAACGGAATCGAAAGATAATCTTTCTCTCCCCATTGACTTCAATACATAGTTTTTTTTTAAAATAAGGTCCCATGGAGGTCCCCTGGAAAGGGAGGGACTTCGCCTCTCTATAACAAACTGTTAAGATGATGACCTTACGAGTGTAAATATATTTTTTCGCTTTTTGGGGGTCTGCCCGGTTTTAAGTCCTGAGAAAGTCAAATAAGACGCTGTGTAAAACTACACTGCCCAGCCAAAAGAAAGTAACCACTTTGATTTAACTAGGCCAGTAGGTAAGGACTTTCCACTGGATAATAATACCCCTGCATTATAGCAACAACAACAACAATAATAATAATAATAATAGCAATAATAATTGGGAGGGGGGGCGCGGCTGTTCTTATGTTCTCTGAGGGGAGGCTCACCTTCCCACAACCCCTGCTCTAGCATAACTTTCTATGTTGGTGGAAAAAAGAAATCACAAAATGTTTAGGCAGCTCGGGGGTCCCTGACGATATATATTAATCACCCTAACCAACATCATTTATTTTATTCAGATGTTTAAAAAAATACAAGTTCAATTATACGACATAATGGAGACATGTGAAATGGGACACCCAGATAAGTTAAATGAAGCTTGGGAATAGGGGCCCAGACACTTAACATAAAGTATTTACATTATATTAGGGAGTTCATGTTTTATACAGCCCATATGATGGTCTGTCAAAGAGGTCACCCCCACTTCAACCCCTCATTGTGATGAACATACACATGTCTTGGTCAATAATATAAAAAAAATGGCGGGATGACGTGGAAAACTGCAGTTTCTTGCCTGAGAGCTGCAGCTTGCCATAGAGAGGGTTAATAACCAGCAACATGTCTTTAACCCTTTGTGTGGCCTTTCGTGTGTCAACATGACATTTCCCACAGGACTTGGACACAACTTCAACAAATACAACGATGACTTCATCACCGATCAGAACACGGCGTACGACTACGAGTCCATCATGCACTACAGACCTTTCTCCTTCAATAAGAACGAATCCATCCCCACCATCACCACCAAAATCCCAGAGTTCTACAACATCATTGGCCAATACCTGGACTTCAGCAAGATGGACACCCTCAGGCTCAACCGGATGTACAACTGCTGTACGTAGATGAGTTTGATTCCTATGTTGATGTGTTTTGCTTAAAAGTTAACAATGGACAGAAATGATTCTAGTCTTGGGGAGGCGGGATTTAGTTATTTATGTATAAAGATAACTGGATACAGCGTCAGAGGCGGGGCCTGTTAATTCCTCTGAAAGTTGCTCAGTGGAAAGCAAAACAAATTGGGCCAATAGAGCATGGCACTTGTGTATTCCTTAAGCCCCGCCTCCAATCTGTTGCCTCACTTCCTATCTTGGCTGATTCAAAAAATTGGAGAAGGAAAATAACTCTGGATTTCGCTTTTAGCATATTTTACAACTTTTCTAACATGATGATTTGTTGAATAAGAGCAATTTAAGTGTCCGTATTTGGTCGTTGATTTACCTAAAAAAAAAAGGGAAGTCAATGGGAAAACTGTTTTTTTTAAGCATGGAGTGACACGGAAGTTGTTGTACAAACGATTGGCTTCATTGCTCGTCTCACTAACTGGAGGCTTGAATAAAGTATGTGCCCCCCGTTCCCCCCCAGCTGGTACTCTCACCCTGCTGGACCAGTGTTCCTTTGAGTATGCCAGCATCTGTGGAATGATCCAGGCCTCAAACGATGATGCTGACTGGGTCCATACCAAGAGCAGTGTGAGTGAAGAGGATCACACACTCCTGGGGAGATGCAGAGGTCAGTGTCTCTTGAAAATACCAATCATTATTCTCAGTTAAGAAAACATGAAATACATTTGCAAAAGTGAAGTTTTACTGAGGAATGGAAGGGTCCCTTTAAAAATGTATGCAGTCACAATTACACATTACCTGTTAAATGTAATCAGTAACCAAATCTAAGTACCACAATATAAAAGTAAGTTAACCTGATTAGTTTTTGTTGCTTTTGGATTATCAAATGCACTGCTAAATACAAGAAAAAATACATATCAATAAGATGGCTTTCACCTAAGTGTATTATGTAAGAAATGAATAATGGAGCCAGGCCATTAGCTGCCTGTATCCAGATTCATCTAACAAACTCTTTAGTATTTGCCACAGCGTGAAATTAATGGGTGTAACTATACTTTTAATATGTCTACAATACGCAATGCGCATGTCATGTCTGCATATTTGTCTGTAATGCCACAGTAACAGATTCAGTGACAGACTGTCCAAACAGTGAAAGCATTCTTTGAATTAGAGGCCATAATAATGACCTGGAAGATAAACTAAGGTTTCACATGAGACTGGTTTCACCTGCTGTGAGACTCATGGAGTTTTGTAATATGTAAGAATGGACTTGGCAATATTTCATTCATCATTTTGAAATGTATTTTATCACTGCAATCATGCGAATAATCCTCATTTTATAAAAAAAATCTTATTTTATGAAACTGTAAAGGAACACATGAACCATTATCCTGATCATCCAGTAACATGTAATCCATTACTCCCCCTCCCCAGATGCTGGGTACTTCATGCACTTCAGCACCAGGACTGGGAAGCCTGCAGAGTCTGCTCTGCTGGAGTCCCGCACCCTCTACCCCAAGAGGAAGCTCCAGTGTCTGCAGTTCTTCTACAAGATGACCGGGAGCTCCAAGGACAGGCTGGTGATCTGGGTCAAGAGGGATGATGGCACAGGGGTTGTTCGTAAAATGCAGAAAATATACACCTTTAATGGTATTTGCATGTTTATATCAACACATTTCACAGTAGCATCCTGGAAAAACACAGCTTTGCATCAAGGCAAATAGTAATTTGTCTGTTTTGATATTCAAATCCAGTTATTTTAACACATCGTAAAACATACTAGTCAAACAGTAACTAACTGCTGAGACAACATTACACACGCATAGGCCCAGAGTTAGCGGGATAGGTTTGAAAAAGCTATCTCTCTTGCCCAAGGGTTAGATGACACAATTGATAGCACTGTATTCAAATCATGAAGCGACAGCCATGTGGTTAGCATAGCTTTGCATAAAAACTGGAAACAGGTGGGGAGAATAGCCTGGCTGTTTCAAAGTAGGCCAAGGTAACATCACTATCAGATTCAGGGGTGCAGGTTTATGGACATATATATATATATATATATATATATATATATGTATTCTGTTTTGGACAGAGCAGGGCTAGATGTTCCCTTCTACTTCCAATCTTTATGCTAATGCTCTAATTTCATATGAAACGGACATATATGAGTTGATTTTGTTAAACTTTTGGCAATAAAATTAATAGCGTTTTTCCCAGATGGTCAAACTAGTTATTTGCAGACAGTAAACACTCTTTTCCCTCTGCTCCAGTTGATTCTGACCACACATGGAAGATCGCCCATGTCCCAATGGAGGTGGGGGTCAAATTCCGCTATGCTTTCCAAGCTGTGCGCGGTGAGCCCTCTGCCTCTGCGGGGGGCATCTACATAGACGACATCAGCCTGACGGAGACACGCTGTCCCAACGCCGTGTGGACCATCCGGAACTTCTCCAAGATCATGGAGATGGCCACCACCAACACGTCAATTGACAGCCCTCGTTTCTACAGCCCTGAGGGTTATGGTTATGGCGTCCGTGTGTTTCCTTTGTCCACCTACACAGATTACACAGGGGGCTACACTGGGCTGTACTTCTACCTGGCCAGCGGGGGCAATGATGTGGTGATGCAGTGGCCGGCGGTCAACAGACAGGCCACCTTGGCGGTGATGGACCAAGACCCTGACATTAAGCTACGGATGTCCACTGCACGCAGCCTCACTACGGACATGAGGAAGAGTAAGTGCTCCTTATACATTTCCAGAGGCAATAAAGAGGCCTTATTATGCTTTTGGGATTTTCCGTTTCCTGTAGTGTGTTATTTAGGCTTCTGTGCATGTAAGTGGTTTGCAAAGTCTAAAATCCCACAGTTCTTCTCCCACACACTCCCCCCTTTCTGAGACATTGTGTCACGACCGAACTCTGAACCCAAATGCACAACAAAGGTTTCAAAATAAATTCTTCAAAATATAAACAATGGCAAGGCACTAGAGGCAAAACAATAAGGTTAACCTGTTCTGACTTAACGCTGGTTCTCGAACTCACTAGACAAGACAAACTGGCTCAGGTAAGGGGGCACAGGTTGAAATAATCAGGGCGGTGTAGACAATCAACGAAGCGGGTGAAACACGAGGGCTGGAAGCACACAGATCTGAAACGAGAGGGTTACTTTTCAAAATACAACAGGAAGGCACGATACAACACAAAGACTGGACAAACCACAAACACTTAAAGGTGGGGTATGTAATTTATTTCAGAAACACTTTTTGTTATATTCCATAGAATGCTCTTAACATCCCGATAGCAATGAATACATTAAAAGCTTTGACAATAAATACATGAAAAAATGTCATCTGTGGAAGCTGTAGCGCTGTAAAAAGCACGACCAATCATCTGAGCCGGCCCGACTAAAATAACTGGATGGCCTACCTGCCTGTCAGCCTTCCATCTCTGCACAAACTTATCTCGTGCCCTCATTGGTCATGTGCACGTTCGTGTGTGTTGGAGGAGGGGCTCTGTAAGGAACTCTGTAAGGAAGTGGCAGATTTTTTCCGGATGTGTACTTTCAAATTCTAGCGCACTCGAGCTGGTTTCTCCATTCTTACCTACCCTACCTTTAACATCTCTTTTGTGACATGACACATTGGAATGAATTATTACTCAACAGACATCACTATGTAACACTCGCACTCCCATTGGCTAGCGCTCAAAAACATCGTACGTGATAAGCTAAGGGGCGGGATATTTCAAAGCGGTTGACCAATCACAACAGAGCCTGGGGTCTCATCTTAATTTCGCAATGATACATATCACACAAACAATATCATTACAGAAGTACATCAATAAAATAAATGTAAATGTGAATTTCTTTGAAAAAAATATATTCTGTGAAATGTAGTACTTTTTCCCAGTCATCCATACTTGACAGATCTCAAGAGCTATCCAATACTAAGATCTTGTCTTTTATTGATGATATCGCTATGTTTATATTAGATTATACAACATTCATTTTGAAGGACAGCCTTTCATTAATAAATGAAATGTATAACCATCCAAAGTGCAAACATTGAAATCAATGTCCTTCAAAGAGCCTTCAGAGTTATTAAAAGTGATCCTGAAGGGGACATTTTACCCACAACCACAAAAGTCAACCACAGGTAGTGTAGTTAAATCCTCTGACTAACATACAGTATCTTCAAATAAATCCATCCGATAGTTGTTCTGATGCAACCGTTCAACATCCCCTTCCCTAAAAAAATCAACCATACCACCCACATGACAACAGTACCATTAAAACAGGGTTGGGGTTAAGAATGAAACGCCTACTCAAATGGCACCTCTGTCTTTTTGTGTCCTCTAGCATCAGATGGGAAGCTGTTTTGGGACAATCCCTCCAAGGTGGGAACGTATGACCCCTCCTGCGAGTGCTACAAAAGTCAGACATGGGGCTGGAGGAACTTTGTCAAGCACTTTGACCTCAAGAGACGCAATTACCTCAAGAACGATGACCTCATCATCTTCATCGACTTTGAGGGTAAGTGGTCTTCTCTTGTTCAATATTTGTTGTGTTTGGTGGGAGGATGCAGGCATGAGAAGTCATTACTTTTCCATCCACAGATATAACATTACTGATCAAATCTGAAGTTCCCATTAAACCAGCGGAGCAGGGTCACACAGGATGAACTGGAAGTAGGACATCAGACACAAATAACATCACATGTGTTTGTGAAATTACTTTTTGTTTAATAAAAAAATAGTATTATGCAACATATGCAGGAGGGATGGAAAGAACAACATGACGATGGACAAAGGATGGAAGATACTGCCATGACAAAATCATCATCATCTTTAGAAAGCTTGAAATGTGAAGATATATTTGGTATCTAATATATATATAAAAGGTGAAATACAGAAGAATAAGCTTTAGAAAATAATTTTGATCACTATATGTGTTCCGCATTGAACTCTTGTCCTAATAAAAGCTATTAAATGAAGCTATCAAAAAACAATTCTGTGGTGTGTTTCTTTTGTTTAGCGATGTAAAAATGGTTTCTATGTGAGTTAGAATAAGAGACTATACAATTAGAGGAATGTATTGTTCAAGCATAAATCTAAAACACTTTTATATTAAAGGTGGGTTAGGTAATTTTGGAGAAACCAGCTCGAGTGTGCTAGAATTTGAAAATACACAACCAGAAAAAATCTGCCCCTTCCTTCCAGAGCCCCTCCTCCAACACACGAACGCGCACATGACCAATGAGGGCACGAGATAAGTTTGTGCACAGATGGAAGGCTGACAGGCAGGTAGGCCGTCCAGTTACTTTAGCTGGGCCGGCTAAGATGATTGGTTGTGCTTTTTACAGTACTACGGCTTCCACAGATTACATTTTTTTATGGATTTTTTGTCAAAGCACTTTAGATATTCATTGCTATCGGGATGTTAAGAGCATTCCATGGAATATAAAAAGTGTATCTCGAGCCGGTTTCTCAAACTTACCTACCCCACCTTTACGTTTTCATTTGTTATAAAAGGATGCTTGACCCTTTAATTGATTATAGCTTTTAAAGAGGAAGAACACCATAGCTCTGGAGGTAATTGGAGATAAGTAAAGTTGCCCTGCTTAAAATGTTATATTTAATGTAACTGTAGTGTAAAGTAACGTTAGAGCTCTTTTCTGACTTTTTTTTTTTTTTTACAGTGGGATACTTTCTTGTCTTGTCCAACTACATCATATTTTCTTTAGTAAGAGCAGCATGTCAACAGTTATAAAATAGAGTTCAACAAATTATTAAATAAAAAATAAACATGTACACCATTTACCTCTGAATTGTAGTGGACAAGAAGTATAAAATACAAGTATCTCAAAATTGCACTTAAGTACAGTACTTGAGTAAATGCACTTAGTTACTTTACACCTCTGATTATATTTGTAACTCATGCATAATGCCTGTAAACATGCTGCTGTGGCAAAAATGTTTTCCAATTGAGGATGAAGAAAGTATATCTAATCTAATCTAATCCAAGCTATCGCGCCTTGTTGTGGTTGGCTGTAGCAGGGTTGGCAGACTCAGGATGCTTTAAACACATAGATATGACAATTAATTAAAAAAATAGGCCAACGGAGCAACAGTACTGTAGGAGATTACATTTACTTTGTAATTTAATAATGTAACCCGTAGATTCTCGACACAGGTCGTCATGGTCCGACAAAATAAATACTGGCTGCATTATGGAAAAAGTAGGATCCCACTGTCTATGATCAGATCTGTGAATCACAGCCTACAGATTTACCTAATTAAATTATTGTTAGCATATTATATAATGTAAGTGTCCTTAATTACCCTTTTTTTTAACTCTTACCTGTCCTAATATTTTAACACCTGAATAGAGTGATCAATAGAGGTTTATTTAATCTTATATTACATAGCAATAATAGCTCTTAAACTGACATGTTTCTTTGATCAATGAGACTTTAAGTAACTACTCCCAGCAACCACAACTGTAGCTGTCATGGCGACCAAGGCCTATTCCGATGGGGTCTGTTTCAGGAGAATGTCTTTGTAAAATACAGATATCCACAGCCACAAAGAGGTCAAACCTGTAAACAACATAACTGCCTGTTTTATTGGATTTAAAATCAGAGTTCATATACATTTATTGCAAATTCTGTTGCCTTTGTACTGGGTCCATGTTATTATTGCTGTCATTACCTGTGCATGTCAGTTGTATAACAGGTTGTGAGAACACGTGTGCAATTCCTGTTACTTATTATAACTGATCAAAGTCCCCCTCCAGCTGCTGTCTTTATTGGCACTTTAACACTGGAATCAGAGACATACGTTTGTGTCTGCAAAACAATATGGGCTCTGCAGACGGTTTGAGGAAAATTGCTGCGCTGATTGGAATATTTGCAGTTTTGAAGGTATGGCATTTTAAAACAATTGAAATGGAATCACGTTGAGAAACAGAAATGGAAAGCAAATTTCTCAAAGACACATTTCTTTTTTCTGTGCTAGGTGCAAGCTGTTCCACTTACCGGTTGGTTCCTTCATTTATTATATGCACATAAAACAAGCTTTTATTTTACGTTTTTCTCTAACAATAAATACATCTTCCAGGTGACAATGCAGATGCTGGTGAACTGAGGGACGACATACTTGACATCAATAGAGGTATCGTTGTTAAGCCCTGTTGATGCATGTGATTGTATGTCTGTTGCGTGACATTAATATGCATTAAACATGTGTTTTACGAATTCTTAGGGTTAAACCACCTGTTTGAGGGAGACATTGCAGTTGATGTAAGTATAGTCTGCTTAGTGATGGTGTTTGTAACAGACTAAAAAGCATATGATTAAAGCTTCAATGTGTCTGGCAGCCCAACAGGAATGCAATCATCGATCAAACAAGAAGGTGGAAGTTTCCCATCCCCTATATCCTTACGGATTCTTTAGGTACACAAATGGATATATTTCCAGCAACAAATTCATTGAGTAGGTAAATATACGTGTGCTGATTTGGAAATGTCCCCTTTTCTAGATCTGAATGCTAAAGGTGTGATCCTCCAGGCTTTTGAGGAGTACCGTCTGAGGTCCTGTGTGGACTTCAAGCCCTATGAGGGAGAGAGCAGCTATGTCTCCTTCACCAAGCTGGATGGGTGAGCTGCAATGATTCAAGAACTGTTGCACAACTTTATGAGCCATGTTGCCAAGTCATCAAAACCATAGAGTTGTGCAGAAATGAGTCCTCAAACCCGGTTATTAGTTAGCATTTGACCACCTCTGGTTCCCTCATCTCAAAGTCTATGTTATTTTTAATGTGCGGAGCGTCTATTTTAGCAGTTGCTAAACTTAGCCGCCTTTGGCTTAGCGCTGGTGATGTACAGTCATGTCACTGTGATTCGGATCAATAACAAAAATAAAAAGTAACAAAACAAAAGTATCAGAAAACAAAAGTATCAGAAACAAAAGTATTAGAAACAAAAGTCTCATAAATGTGTGTTTGCCACTGATCTTATTTTCTGCGATATTCCAAAAATATCCCTTTTGATGGTCAACTACAAGTCATCACTGCACCACTATGTTAAGATCTAGAAAATGTTGATGTGATGAAATGCTATTGAGATCCAATAACAGCTCCTTAGTTTGAATATGTCGTTTGAATTTTCCTTTTTATCAATTCAGATGCTGGTCGTTTGTTGGGGATGATAGAGTAGGCCAGAATGTGTCCATTGGGGCGAGGTGCGACACTAAGGCCATCGTGCAGCACGAGCTCCTCCATGCTCTCGGCTTTTACCATGAGCAGTCTCGCTCAGATAGAGATGACTATGTCAAAATCTGGTGGGACGAAATTGAAGAAGGTGGGTCACAACAATTATATGCTTTGTGTTGTTTAGCGCTGTGACCAGGATTTAGGAAATACGCCATATTTGTCCATCAGAAACCCACCAGTAGTTTTTTGCAGAAGTAACCAAATTAAGACAAAGGGCTGGAGCTGCTAGCATAGCAAATACTGTGTTACCAGCTAGCACTAGCTAGCTATCTTGGTAGTAGATCCGTACTAACCAACTAACTGTGATATTAATGGGGATGCTTATTTTTTCGAAGAAGATCCTTCAAATACACATACTTACCGAAAAAAAAACAGCTGACTCCATGGTGTTCTTAACAGAACACTGAACAACACATTTTTAGGAAGCCAAAATGTTACAATTAACTCTAATTAACTGAAAACACACTGTGAAAGTGAAAAGTTCTAAGAAGCAGAGCATCCAAGAAAGGGAGGAGTTTTAGCATATACATAAGCTATGTGGTAGTGCTGTTTGAAGCAGTTGATATACTGTCTCCTGACTATCTACATGACCTTTCTCCTCACAGGGATGCAGCACAATTTCAACAAGTATGAGGATGACTTCATCACGGATTTGAACACACCATATGATTATGAGTCCATTATGCACTACAGACCTCTGTCATTCAACAAGAACGAAAGTATCCCCACAATCACCACCAGCATACCATATTTTAATGAGATCATCGGCCAGCGGCTGGACTTCAGTGCAGTAGACATCACCAGAGTCAACCGCATGTACGACTGTGGTAAGAGTCTCCTTAAATACACCCTAAAGGTTTGAGAAAGGCAACTGGTCTGGTCAAACATTCTTTTTTGTGGCAGGGACAGAGTCTGTAAGAACCTGGTATGTAAGTACATTATTGATGTAATAGGGCGGGCCATACTATTTTTTTTTGTAAATCGATCGAGAGGGGTGTTCAAATAACGTATTTTGGCATGTAGAACACAAATATGAAGACATTTTTCAATTCTGATAAACCTAACCTACATCAATTTGCAGTTGATTATTATCTATTTTTTGATTATTTTGCTATTCTTCTGGAAAAAAGTGACTAAGTTGGGGTGCTTTTATTTTGAAATCAGGGCTTTTATGTTCCTGTCTGAAGTGAAACTTACAGGAATTGAAACTTACTTGTGTATCTGTGTTTTCAGTGTGAACTAGTTGAAATGGTCAAAGTCAAAACAAGGGAAAAATCGACTTCTCATTTGAGTAACCTTGTTGGCACTGGGCGAGAGCTGTTGGTGTCTGAACTGACAACTGTGAGGAATATCCTGAGGTATGGCATCTACTTGAGGGATCAAAGTAAAGATGATAGGAGCAACTACCCAGTGGACCAGCTGGTGGGTGACATCGTCCCTGGTCTGATTGGTCAGTGGAGCAAAGCGAATGCTCTTTTCAAGCCACCTGTTAATGAAAAGGTGACCATCATGTCCAAGCTCAAGGAGGTCTGGAATCAGGCAGTGAAGTGTTCCCTTGGGAAGGGCAAACTTGATGCCAAAGAGAGGTTCAGTGTCAAGTTAGACAAATTATTTGATATTTTGACTTGCAAGTGTCAGATTACCAGTTGTGAGGGGGGAGGCTGTGATGGCTGTGTGATCCAAGCCCACATTAAGTGTTCCTGCAGCAGAGAGAAAAGGATTCCTTTAAAAGATCTTGCATACATCAAGGGACAGAAATGTAAGGTTGGAAGTAAAGGACTCCACCAAATGGGGGCCCCTGATCTGCAGGAGCACAAGAGACAGGTGGGGACATTGGAAAGGCAGGGGATGGAAAACATGGCTGAGGAAAGGAGAAGGAGCAAGGAGGAAAATGCTGCAGCAGCAGACAAGTATGGGCTCAGAACAGTCTCATAATACACACATGCACACAGAAGGATTCAAACTTGTATTTCCGGATCCATACTTGTGTTTTTCAATGCACACACACATGTATTCCGTTTCATATACATGTAAATAAAATCCAAATACAGAAAAAAGTTTTACATATGTATTTTTTATCCTCACTTATTAGTTTCCCGTTTAAATCTCCTGAACCTGCAAACACAAACAGCTTTCTGTGCACGGATCGCTTTGCATTCGTGTGTGGTTTTTTTTAGACTCCCCTGACGGTCAGTCGATTCGTACTTGTAATTTTTTCTATCTATAGCCAATCAGATGTCTCCTTCATTCTAAGCCAATCACATGAGCGCGCCCCCACGAGGGTAAGATTACTTCATATACGCATTTTGCGCAGTCCGGTCAGCTCGCTAAGCAGAGGGCGGAGCATCAGGTGATCATGCGGAGCAGCGTGTCTCCGTCAGACTCAGCAGCTGATCTGATCTCTCTCTTGCGTCCGGTTATACTTCACTCGCGTTTATGTCCATATCGATCAGATCCAGCTCTCCTGATCGGCCTTTATAGAGAGCACAGATCAAACTATTAAGAGTGAATATCGGCCGATAATGACCGGCGGGGCTCCCCCCGAGGTCACTGTCTAGCACTGGCTTCGTAGTGCACCGATCGATTAGGCTAAGCTAACCTGTAGCTGCTCCCTCCACACTCACAACAACTTCATACACACATAAATAAAGCAGCTGTATTCGCCATACAGGAAACACACATTTAAAACGGTTTTGCCTGCCGTTTTTGTGTACACAAGCATTCATCAATGGTTTGGAAAGTGGCGCTGTACCTTAATAATATAAAGGCTTGTATTCACGTGCATTTCCTGCTCGGAAAGTGGCGCTGTATTGAGAGTGGAGGGTGTCCTGAGATTAGCGCCTGCAGGCAGGCTCCATGGAGCTGTCAGCTCCGGACTGCGCAAAATGCGTACATGAAGCGCTACGTCATGAACGCAAGAAATCTACCATCGTGGGGGCGCGCTCATGTGATTGGCTTAGAATTGAGGAGACATCTGATTGGCTATAGATAGAAATAATTACAAGTACGAATCGGCTGACCGTCAGGGGAGTCTCAAAAAACTCACACACGAATGCACAGCGATCCGTGCACAGAAAGTGGTTTGTGTTTGCAGGTTCAGAGGATTTAAACGGAAAACAAATATGTGAGGATCAAAAATACACATGTAAAACTTTTTTCTGTATTTGGATTTTATTTACATGTATGTGAAACGGAACACATTTGGGTGTGCATTGAAAAACACAAGTGTGGATCCGGAAATACAAGTGTGAATCCTTTTGCGGATCATGAAATACAAGTGTGAATCCTTCTGTGCGCATGTGTGTATTATGAGACTGTTCTGAGCCCATAGACAAGGCAGCCAGGAAGGATGTTAAGAGATGTTTGGCAGATGGTGATGAGGATCTGGAATTGGAGAGTGGTTCTGAGGATGAGTTTGTGCCTGAAGTTGAGCTCTCCCCTGAAACTGAACCTGAGCTCTGACTGATGCAGGAATCATCACAGAAGACAACACAAGTAAAGTGATTGATAAGAACAAGGTCAAGAGAGCACAGGACAAGTTGATGAGAGAGCTGGGAGAAGAGTTTGAGGAGAAGTGCAGGGAGATCTCCTGCATCCTCTTTGATGGGCGGATTGACCTGACCAATGTGATGATGGAAGCTGAGGGCAGTGACCAATCTTTTCCTGCAAAGATCAAAGAAGAACACTACAGTGTTGCTAGTGAGCGTAGGCACATCCTGTTTCAACTGGACTGCCTCAAGTCCCAGAGGAAGGAGGTGCTGGACCTTGTGATGCCAACTGTGAGAAGATCTGCTTGGTATGCCCACAGTGAAGCCATCCTCCAAACACTGCTGTGCTCTGAGGATCAGAAGGAGATAATTGAGGGGGTGGAGAGAATCCTGGCCATTAGGGGAGAGGGGGACCCAGACACTCAGCTGGGGGACTCCTCTGTCAGGACCAGAAGGACACCTGACATCAATTGTGATGCTTCCAGCATTGGGGACTTGATCAGCTGGTCAGACGGTGTGTCAGAGCCACCCTTCACCTGCTTGCTAAGCACCTCAGAGGTGAAACACGTCATCAAAACCCCCATGGAGGTACTCAACTGGCCTTTCCATACTCAAAGCATTGAGAGGGTTGTTAAAATGGTGGCCGAGGCTTCTGCTAAGTACTTCTCACAGGAAAAGAGGGATGGAGGAGGGATCAGAGCTCAGGAGACCAGCAGGAGACTGATGTCCAAGAATGAGTCAAAGCAGGACTTGTGCAACCTGGCAAAGTTCAAGAAGTCAGAAGATGTATCTTTGTAATATTATCCAGTTATATATATGCAGTTCACCTGTTAATAAATATGTAAAAATGATTTGGCTTTGGCAATATAAATGATTTCCCTTATATCTTTTACTATCTTACATAAAGGTTTGAAAGGGTAAAATTGCCAATTTAGAAATACAAAACGATGTAGGTTAGGGTTATCCTATCCAAAAAATAAGCTCATATTTGAATTCCCCCCCAAAAACCACATCATTTAGATATCCCTCATGTTAGGATTTCCTTCAGATTCATGTTGGCACCCTAATGTCATACTGGACCTAAAATGCATTTCATTGTAAAGCTGCACAACCCCTTACTATTTAGTCCCCCTATCTATTTTGAGCCTTTTCCGCTTCACTATAGTGGCCAACAACTCCTTAATCTTCATTTTGATGTAAAACCCCACTTTGTTGATCAGATATATTTCCTCATTCTCTGAGCCCTCTGTAGTGCGTTAAGCTTTGTGTATTGACCGTTGATAAATGTTTTCTTCCAGCCAACACTCACACTCTCTTGGACCAGTGCTCCTTTGAGCTGATCAACATTTGTGGAATGATCCAGAACGAAGCAGACAACGCAGACTGGGTCCAGACGCTGAGCAATCCAGCAGATCCAGACCACACCCTGACAGGGCGCTGTAGAGGTACTGAGCTACATTTCTAGATCATACAACGAAAACATTTGAAGTTAATCTGAATGTGTAATGGTACAGAAAATGCTTTAAAGTCCATGATGTCAAAAAGTGTTTTCCCACCAGAAACCAACACATTGTTCAACAGACAAACCTTATTTATGGAAAAAACCCACATTAGCATATAGCCTCAATGCTCAGCAGCAGACTGTTTTACTTACTTTTTAATTTATTTTCTTTTGTCATAATACGTACATATTTTTAGCTTTTTAGACATATGGTTAAATGTTGTTATAACAAAACATAACTTCTTTAACATGTGATAACCTCAACAAACACATATTGGCATATGAATGCATAATCTGTTGGCAACAATTTTGGTATTGGAAGCCTTCTAGCTACACTTTGTATTTTGAGTACACTGGTAGCAAAAAGGAGGCCACACAAGGAAAATCAGGAAGCACACAAACCACACCAGGGAAACATGGACGCAAACTGACAGGGATTATCAGAAAGCCAGGTATATATAATTACAAGACTAATCACAAAGACAAGACACAGCTGGAGAAGGCAGGAAAATACACCAGGGCTGCAGTCGAATTGTCAGTTTTGCTTAGGAACCTTGACCGGAAGTCCCTCAGTGGCAGCCATGATAAGAGCCGTTTGAATTCTCTAGATCAGGGGTTCTCAAAGTTTTGATGAGTGAGGGCCAATTTAGGTACCCAATATTGGATTGAGGGCCGCCCAAGAAAAAACGGAACACAAAATAATTCCAAAACAAATCCTTTCTTTATTGTACTAACCAATTATACATACAGTATACATTAAGAACTTGCAGAGGACACAAAGTTGGATTATCTACAGATAGTGACTAGCTAAAATCGCTAGCTAACTCCCGTTTCTGATTCTGATAATGTACAACAGATTCTCGCGAGATGCCTAGTTGCCATGCAACCAGTAGTCGAGCAAACTTTCCACAAGCTGTCATTCATAATTTAGGAATGACAATCCAGGGGGCGCAGTTTTACCATTCTTAAATTCAATTCTAATTCTTACTAGATACGAACCATGGAGGATTAAAATATATTGCATGGATTTCAGCGTGTCACATTAACTATCACGGGCCGCCAGAAACATTTCCGAGGGCCGCCATTGGCCCGCGTGCCGCACTTTGAGAACCCCTGCTCTAGATGAAAGGAAAGGAGGTGTTAGAGCCAGTATTTTGATTTGATAAGAAAGGCCACCTAATTGTGACGTCTGTAGTCAACGCACTATAAAGGAATACAATTCCCACAGCGCCTGTGCTAATGCCACAGTGATGGGCAAATCTCTGTTGAGAGACGCCGTCGAGGAACAGTTTTTAACCGTACTCAATCGTACTCGTAACCGTACATACAAACCGTACAAGTACCCTTTAAATTGTGAAGATAAGCATTATCAAGAAAGAAAGAATACCTAAGTTGTGTTGTTTTATTTGAGTTTTGCCTATTTCTTTTGAATATTGTAAAGGCCTATTTTTCTTTGTTGCATGTGCAAAAGTTTGTTATTTTATTTAGAGCAAATACATCGCAACATCTTCAACCTTTATAACCTCCTTTAGCTTAGGAACCACTGGACCTCCCTCACCGCAAGGAGAGTAGAAAATGCTGCCCCACAATGCCTTGCAGCCGCAGCATTTGCCGTCACACAACAGTCGGCCGTTCACGGAAACAACCGATTATGACGGAGAAATGATATCATGAAAGTTACGGTGCTTATTAAGCATTTTAAAACGTATGTGGTTAGTTGCCAAATTGCTTTGTTTTGAACGTTCATCAGTATTATAATCAAAAAGAGAAATATGAACGTTAGTTTTTACTGAAATGATCAAATAAAGTCAACATCTCACAGTCTTTACTGAGCTGTGGGGTTTGTTCAACTTTTAAAATATGTTTGAATGGTGATATACACAGTGATAGGTGTTAAGGACTAACGTTTATAATAAATATATTTGTATTGATTTTAAGATATTTTCATACAATCATACGTATTGGGATCATTTGTATTAATGTGGACCGGAGGGAGAGGGTGACGAGCATAAGTTTCACTTTCCTTTTTTATTTCATTTACAACCTCGTTCATGAAGAATATGTTTATCTGTTGTCCACGTTCATAAAGCATAAAGCAACAGCATCAGAGCACGGTGCAGAGTCTCTAGATGAGTTTACAGTAGTCCCTCGTTCTTATTACACATCCATGTTATAGTCCGCTGTATAGAAAACTGTAGTCCCCACAGCAGACGCATATTCATGACGTCCGCTGGCGCATCATAAACACGTCGGATAGTGAAAGTGCAGTTGGATTCTCTAAAGTACCGCGGTCTCTTCTCCTAAATCCTTTTGAATTCTCCTATCCACTATCCCTTATCCCCGTGACGTTTCACACAGAGGTCAAGGGATAGACGATAGGGTTAGAACTTGATTTTGGACTATTCGACTGCAGCCCCTGGCACAATCAGACAATCACACACAGGTGGAAAGAATCAGGGCATTTACAAAGGTGGGAACAAATCACAGGAAGTAAAACAAACAGGCATAAGTAGAAAATACTTTTCAAAATAAAACAGGAAACCCAAACCACGATCATGACAGAATATCTGTTATTTACATGGGAACCCAATAAATGCTTAGAGACTTATCGTCATTAGAACAATTTCCAATGGGTTCTTAGACTGAGACATGATCACATTATGCTTTAGTCCCACTTCTTATTATAATTCAGTTAACACAATGTTCGCTTCTTCCTTTAGATTCCGGCTACTTCATGAAGTTTGACACATCTTCCGGCGCAATTGGAAACAGTGCCATGCTAGAGTCACGTATCCTCTACCCAAAGAGAGACGAGCAGTGCCTGCAGTTCTTCTACAAGATGAGTGGAGTAGCCGGGGACAAACTGGTGATATGGATAAGGACTGATGACGGGACAGGGACCGTACAAAAGGACAGGAGGATCCACAGCATTACAGGTATTTTATTTATGTTTACTAAGCAGCACAGAAGTTGTCTCTTTCGAATCTTTTGAAATGGAAAAGCCTTTCTATCGATGCAGTGTTGGAAGACTTTACTCCTTGTAAATTGAGTGGTGATAATGCTTTTTATACGTGTAAAAATAAATCCGAATCAATTTAAAATGAATTCCCTGCTTTTTGTCTTTCAGGTGATGGAGATGCTGCCTGGAAAATAGCCCACGTGAATCTGAAGGTGACAGAGAAGTTCCGTTATTTCTTCCAGGGCATTAGAGGATCACCCGTCTCCTCGGGGGCCATCTTGATCGATGACATCACTCTTACTGAGTCCATTTGCCCCAGTGCTGTCTGGCAGATCCATAAGTTCTCCAACATTCTTGCCACCACCCCTCTTGGCACCCCGGTGAAAAGCAATTGCTTCTACAACTCGGAGGGCTACTCATTCGGCATCAATGTTTACCCCGGTGGAAAAGACAGTGCCTACCCAGACTATGTTGGCATGACCTTCTTCCTGTGCAGCGGGGAAAATGATGCAGTGATGGAATGGCCAGCCAAAAACAGACAGGTGACCATCGTTGCTATGGACCAGGACCCTGATGTAAGACTGAGGATGTCTTCTACAAGAAGCTTCACCACAGGTACGCATAGGTCACTGGCATTAAGAAAAAAAGAGGGGTTTCTATCAATGGAAGGGTTATTGTAGCTGAATTATTAACAAAAAGTTTGGCTTTTTAAAATATCTGCTTTAGAAATCAATCCATAACACTGTTTTTCTTGACTCTTAGATACTGATCCCCGCTGGAACAAACCAACAGCTACTTCAGGTCAAGAATTTGTCTGGAGCACGTTTATTTCCATCCAGCATCTGCAGAGGAGGAGCTTCCTCAAAAACGATGACCTCATCATTACGGCTGACTTCAACGGTGAGAATCTAAAATATCAGCTCCATACTGGACCAACAAATATTCTGCCAGTTATCACATGTTTTTATAATTTCTTCTTCAGCTTCCAGGATTCTTTTGACATTGTCATTAAATCCAACTTGTTTCATTAGATTTGACCCACCTGATCAAGACTGAGGTGCCTGTCAAACCGGCCGCACCAAGTAACGGAATTCCAGAGGAGAAGCCAGTCAGCGAGCTGAAAATGAGACCGGAGACCCCGAAACACAGAGAAGCACGCGCTGCCAACCCGTGTGGCCCCAACCACTGCATAAACGGAGGCGTGTGTGTGGAGAGTAAAGGGGAAGCCTCATGCAGGTGTGTGTTTGGATTTACAGCATGTGCCTATTTGCATTACTTAAAGGTCTCCTATCATGCAAAATGCATGTTTTGATGTCTTTTATACATAAAAATGTGTCCCCGGTGTATCAGGAGACTCACAAGGTGATAGAAAACAAAACCCTCTCTCTTTTCCTCCGTACCCAAATCTGTAAAAACGGGGGTACAACAGAGCTGACCCAGATTTGCCGCCGTTATGACGTAATATCGGAAATCTGGGCTGGCTTTACACCCTATCAGATATGTCGCTATTAGAAACAATGCCCGACGTGTTTTGGAAGTAATATGTTCTTTGTTTACATTAGCAAGCTCACCTCACCTTGTTGTAAACCCGCAAGATAAAAAGCATTTGAGCTCCATACTGAAATAGTCCTTGATGTGGTTTGGAACATGATATGGTGTTTAATGACAGCAGCATTTAGCTGTATCTGGGTAGAATGCCCCTGATCAGATACTCAGCATAAGCTCCCCTCCCTTTTTTTTTTGTTGAAAGCTCTAGACCCAGAATCAGCACTTCTCTAACAGGGCTAAAATAGAGGGATATGATATGGGATATTTCTTTTTGTTTTTGAGCAAAACACTTCATAGACATGTTTTTCATGTATTTGTATATATCTGAGACCTATAATATATGCCTAAAAATAGCATAATAGGAGACCTTTAAGATGATCATTTTTGTACATTTTACCTCTAGAGTTATCTCATTTGACGCTGCCTAACTCTTGCAAGCTAGATGACACAGCCATCAGAAAAATGCAGTTATTGTGCATCACAAAATCATTTAATGTGCGCTTTTCTCCAGGTGTGCATCTAGCCAGACCACCTACTACACTGGTAAGAGGTGTGAGAAAACAAACATAGACAGAGGCATTCTGGGCGCTCTGATTGGTGGCGCAGCAGGGACCGTTGTGTTGACACTGGCCATCTTCACCGTCATCAGGAGAGCTCAGTGACACATCTTCCAGGGGGGTAATATATCCTCTGCATTCACCCAGCAGTGAAATCACAGCAAGCTGGTGACAAGGCTGAAGTGAGAAGTGTTCGTAGAATCTGATAAGCTAATTATTAACTTCCTGAATCATATTTTGCGTACGCTTCAAAATTAATTTTTGTATTTCTTAGAATGAGCCTTGAAATCTCCCGAACTTATCCATTAACTTTGTTTGGTATGATAAAAATAATCACATGCAGTCCGCTTGTCCGCAAATTACATTTGTCATGGAAAATGCAAAGCTTGGAATTAAACTTCATTGGGTAATGATAACAATAAAATACATTATATTTCTTGTCTTTATTTCAATACATATTTTTGGATACATACACTGGTTAGACACACAGGTTATAGTTTAAATCAAGTAATGTACATATACAAATTCAAGCAAAATTATCAAACCATGCCAAACTTGTTAAAGGGGCCCTATCATGCTCATTTCCAGGTTCATATGTATAAGTTGTGCCTCTTCTGTTCACCCTCTGTCTGAAACCAGAGCCCAGTCTGTTCTATCTGTTGTGATAGGTGAAACGCTTAGAGCCGCCCCTTAGCCCATCATGTGTTGGAGTGCTAGCCAATGAAGGAGTCCAATGGCGTTTCAGGCAGAGGGGATGAATGTCAGGAGGGAACACAGGGATTTTAGCCTTTGTAGACCATTTACATGCGCTAAAGCCTATATAACACACTACAGGAAAGGGAAAACCCCTAATAATCATAGGGCTCCTAGAAAACCAAACAATATCCTATATACAGTCAGCTCAAACTCCTTGTACAGAATGCAGAACATCAAGATATACAAGCTTCCCCTTAAAGCTATAAAGTGTAATGTATTTAACTTCTTTGGCACATAAAAACGAATGGAAATAGTCTGTATCAACTTTACCCTTAAAATATAAAATGGCATCAAAATGTATGCATTAGCTATATTCTTATCTTAAATTCTTTCCTGGAGCAGAATATGATTTCATGGATGTTAACCATAAGTGTAAGAGCTACAAATAATAATAATGTTCAGTGCTATCAAATAAAAATAAAATAAAGCTAGTTTTTGAACATTACTCTATAGTTCTGTAACTATCTATACACAAAGCAGTATCGGAGGAGCTGCATCCAAGAGTTGCTGTTTCCGTGTCTGCAATCTGAAATGTAGATATGGACAAGTGTTAAGAGTATTCATAGATTTTCACATTCAAAATGTGCCAAACTAAAGCCGATAGAGAACATTTGGTTATTTGATTGAAGTAAAAACTAAAAACAGATAAACATCCAACCACAGGTTTTAATATTCTATTCTATAAGGCAGCAGCCATATATCCCAAGGATGACCTATTTATAATAACGTCAGTGATCAGACCTGTTAAGCCCAAGAGCCCCCTCAGTCGCGGGGTGTTTTTTCACGAAACTGAGCGATCAGAACTCGCGACAGGGGAAGCAAACACAGACATCACAACACTTAGCATTACAGAGCACAAACGGGACATTGTCTCACCTTAGCTGTTATTCTAATCAAAAGTCGTGTTCAATGGCATTACAACGATAAAAACGCTGCTGAGGGTTAATCCATAGGTTAATCCAATGTGTCTGTCACTTTGAAAACATTATTTATAATCCATAATTCAATTTGTATGTAACAATTGGAGAATAAAAGTTAGCTGCTAATGCCACTAGAGTTATCGCAGCTTCCGATTTTGGCTACGCGTCACTCTCACTCCTTATTTGGTAACGTGTGTGTGTATGTGGGAGTTCCCCTCGATTCTATTGGCTCTAACGGTTCAAAAGAGGTGTCAATCATCAAAATCGACCAAGGGGGGCCAGAGATAGGTCAAATGACCCCAGAAGTGTTTTTTTGTTGCTAAACCTCTCTAAAAAGGTCAAATTTCACTTGTTTTGCATCAATCCTGATACAGGGTACTTATTATATGTTGTACTTTGGATTCCTAAAGCTTTTAGTCTACCATCCCATCATTCAAGGGTGGTTTTCACTATAAGTAATTTTTTTTTTGGACGGACACTATAATTTAAATTTTTTACTGTGTTCAATCGGAATTTACTTTAAAATAAAAACATCTATATTCTGACACTTCTACATCCAACTCACAGATGTATCCTTGCTTTGAGAAAAAAGACTATTAATTTAACCCTTTTAGAAGGGAAGATATGGTCATTTGTTCTGGGAATGTCATTTTCGAGCCTGAGACCTGAAAAACAGGCTCGGGGCTTAACAACTACTCAGATCAAAGTAGCAAGTCTAATACTTTGATTTATGACTTTAAGGAGCGGTCTTTTGGTTTGAGTTGTTAACTTATTTACTGCTTTGATAAGTGCAGAAGGTAAGTATTTTTAATATGACAATTTGGTTCAAATGTAATGCTTTTTGAATGTGTGTCAATGAAGATGTAGCAAATGCATGGACACAGGTTAAAATGCAACAACTAATCACGTGATCTAGCACTGACCTCGGTCCTCATTTGTCTCTTGTGTAGGTGGTTGAGGTCAAATTCTTCATGCTCTCACTTTTTCCTTTTGACTTTGCCTGCAGGTAGAACAAAACCAGCTATGATGAATGTCAATATTACTTTAGGTTGTCATTCTGGATACTTCATTGGTTGACTTACCATTATGAGCTTTATCATTTCTTCTCGAACCTGTATAAAAACAAATAGCTTTAAAATAAATACTGAACAACATAATTATTGGCAACTTTTGGGACCCATTAATCAAACCCAGGCTTTCTATGGCCCAGGAAGAATGCTCTACTACAACCACAAGACATAAGGGAGATTTAAAAAAATCTATTTATATATTGACGCTGAAAGGGAATGAGAGACAAGTTGGCAAACCTACCTTCTGCTCTGCAAAAACACCTGTAATCAAAATGAATAGGCCCTGCAAGAAAACAAATGTAGTGAATTTAAATCGTGTGACGTTTTGGCAGACATTCTTGTTGAAATTATATTGTGGTATTGAATAGCACATTTTGTGCGTATGATGAGAGGCTAAGGTGACTTGAAGTTGAGGAGTGGGTGAAAAATAATTAATTTTAATCAGATTTGACACATCTCCCTCAAGAAGAAAATAGCCTTTATGCAACTTATTTTTTAACTTCCAAAGTGGAAAATCTCAAAACTTTAGACGTCCCAATAAATGTGTACAGATTAAAAGAGGTAACATTTAGGAAAAAGGGTACACTAGTATCAGGTTGGAAATTGGTATTGTTACCAGTTTGGACCTATTGGAAAAAAGTTGGATTGATGCCTCACAAATTTCAACAGTTTGTTTTGTGTGTGGAATGCTTTCAAATTACCTGGAAGGAATTGAGGATGGTAAAACTGTAAGTGGCTATCATATGCACGGGACTGTCTTTCTCCAACATGAGCATAGCAAAGCCAATAATCCATGTTAGTCCAAAGACAGGCGTTAGAAAGACCACCACTTTGAGGATGCTTTTGGCTGTCTCCTTGTCGTCTGCCTTGCTGCCCTCAGGGACATTGGATTTCACTAGAGTAAGAATGACGACCACCATGGAAAACAGATTTGTCAAAATAACAATTCCCACAGGAAGGAGGAAAGCATGAATGGAACCCTCCAAGACTCTGTCATAAACTAGCCAGCAACTTTTCTTTTCATAGTAGTGCTTTTTGGTGTATTTGCAATACGTATAGCTTGATCCCACTATGAAGATTGGGAAAACATAGCCAACGATGCCGGAGAAGAACATGAAGACTCTTTTCCTCAGGGGGGTGAAGACGAAGATGAGCTGGTGGACAAGCATGACACTCATGCACATCATCCAGTTGAACATGGCCAAATAAAACAGGTGCTTGCATATTGTCAAAATTAGGCACCAGTTGTCACTGAGACTCTCGGGAAAGCTGGAAGCCAAGAAACTACAGTTACCGAGCAAGAGGAACACAGCAATGTTCACTATAGCTGTGTGACGGAAATGTGAAAGGTTGGATTTGACCACAGCCGACCACACTAGATACTCAACGATGAGGAAGATCAGCAGGGAGCAGACGGACACACCCAGGCCGACATTTGTAATCATAACCAGGGCCGGTGTATCACTAGCCGGTGTATCACTCTTGGACATCATGACAGAGAATGAAGTCAGGTGGTTGCATTCACAAACTGTGCTATTTCCCTGAATAGTTTTCGCGCTGCATCCTGCTTCTGACCATTTGTTCTCCCAGGTGTGCCAGAAAACACACATACGTTTTTTGCGACTCAGATTCTCCTGGGGGAACACCAGTCTAATTTCTGGGGATGAACTATTCCCCTCCATTGTGACCGATACTAAGATGCTGTCAGGCTTCGAATCGTCGATGTTGTTTTTTAATCTATGCATTAGATTTTTCACAGCAACAGCTTTCACTGTTCCGTTGGTCTTGTTCATATTAACGTCAATGTCAAACACAGTCATATTGCAGTCATCTGAACAGAATCTGAGCTCTAGATTTGTACGGTTCACTCCGTTGCTTTGGTTGACCTTAATATTCCTCACCAGATCTTCCACAGACTTAAGATATTTTGATGACATATTCTGAACAATAGATTTGTTGACACCAGACCAGTTGTTGTTCAACATATTGCTTGCAGCATGAACAAATTTCTGAAACAGAAGATTAAAAAAGGGACATTTTATCTTGGGATGTTCGGCGTTCACATTGTAACTAATTGATCAGTATAACTTATATATAACTTATCAGTATAAGCTCAAATAAAACAGTTCAAAACTTTCTATGGCTTCTGATCTACTCATAATTATATGGACTAGTGTCAGCGATTAATAAAGCTGATCGAAATCCAATCCCTACTTTACTGTGATATGATTTGTCCACCTCACATTATGCATTATGCATTATTCAGTGCAAAAATGAGCCATATAGGCTTAAAAATCCACATGTATTTCAGTAAGCAAAGTAATAATTATCAACGGGGGCTTACAGGAAGGACACTGTCTTCCAAGACAATGAACTCTGATGCCTTCGACATCGAATTTAGAACATTGATGGAAGCGCTAACGTCGGCCGTAGAGTCAATGGAATTAGGGTCGGATGTAGAGCTGTTAAAAAGTCCTGAAAAAATCTTCAAGGCCATCTCCTGGGTGGCCCCTAGTCCCTTCGCAAAGTTCTAGAAACAAAATTAAACAAGGATCTCAATGAAACGATGTACACACAAATGAAATCCCAAAAACAATGACATTGTTGCAAAGCACAAAAATATGTCAACATATTTGTTTCAACATTATATAAATG